CCGTGTGTGTGTGTGGGGGGAAAATAAACAATGGATTCCGGAAGTCACATTTCACTCCAATATTGGAGTTAATAAGGTAATCGCCCTCGTTAAGAATTATCCTAACCAGGTGTCACATTCCCTTAGCCAGGCGAACCAGTTTTTATTATGTTTGTGTAGCTGGATGTAGCTCCTGCAATTGTCTCTCTTTTTTTTTTTAGAAAAGTGGGTTATTTTCTAACCGATCCACTTCCTACCTATCTCTAAGCATGTCAGAAGTCAGAACTTGGGGGGTACTCCGGGGTGCAAAGGTATAACGTTTCGTTCAACACGCAAACCGCGATCACGACTGGAAATATTGCTCGACATATCGAGGCTGATCCGACTTCGGTTCATGGGTTTTGTTTTTTTCCTCCTTAGTTGAACGGATTTGAAAGACGTGTGTCTGCACCGGGAGTTCAGACTCCAACACGGGCTCTCCGACGATGCTTTTTTAAAATGATTGTTGTTATTATTATTATTACTACAAAGAAATAAGCTGCCAGTTGCTCCCTGTGGTGAAACTTGGCTCGTCGACTCCAGCCGTCACAGCTGGCGGTGACGCGTCTGGAGTCCGATCAGTCCGATCGGTGATCGATCCCTTAGCAGGAGCCCAGCGCTCCCCGTCACGACCCGGCGGCACCGGCCGTGAGACCCGTCGCTCAGCCTCGGCTAAGCGCGTCGTGGGAGGACCCTTCCCGGCGGCGGACCGGGAGCCCGGTTCCGGTTCCGCCTGCGGCTCCGGCTCGGTCCCGAGTCCGCAGGCCGAGTGCGCCGTGTGGGAAGCGGTCAGCTGTTCCAGGCCCGGGGCTACAGCCCGCCCCCCTCCTGCCCTGCCCTGCCCTGCCCTGCCCTACCGGGCCGGGCCAGTCCGGGGATTGGCCGGGCCCGCTTGTCCGTCAGGCGTGCGTGACCCCGAGGCGCCTGTCCGGCCTCCGTCGCTCGGTAGGTAGTCAGCAGCTGTCGGGACTTTCTTCTTATTTTACAGCTCGGAGGCGTGAGGGCTCCTTTATTTAACCCCGCGGTCCGAAGGAGTACCGTGTAACGTCAGGCACTGGGTGGAAGGGCGGTGCTGGAGTGGGGTTTCTGCCCGCCGGCCAGACACACGCCGGCGGGGTTAATTAGCGTGCAGTGGGTGGGCAGGTGTCGCTTCTGGAGTCCTGTATCGGCCCTTTTAGCAGGGTGCGTGTGTGCTTGAGTCTCCCAAGTACAAGAGGTCTTCTGATAATGGATAAATAACGGGTTCAGTAGGTTGTTGAATTTTTGTTTCAAGTTCCAGGGCTGTCCAGACTTCAAATGCTGTTAAATACTGTTTTACTTGATGTGAGCCGCACTGCGGTGCAGTAAGTGGCCTTGGGTTGAATTCTGGACCTGGGGTGCTGTCTGTGTGGAGTTTGCATGTTCTCCCCGTGTTTGTGTGGGTTTCCTACCTCAGTCCAAAGACATAATTGGCTTCTGGGGGACTTGGCCTCTGGTGTGAATGTGTTTGTGTGTGTGTCTGTGTGAGCCCTGGGATGGACTGGTGTCCTGTCCAAGGTGTACCCTGCCTTGTGCCTGTTGGCCAGGATAGGCTCTGTCTCGCCTGTTGACCCCGAATCGGAAGAAGCGGGTAGAAAATCGAGGGATGGGTTTTATTGCAGTGTGCCACTTGAATCGAAGTTAAGACCTCGCGCGTTATCTGCAGCCTGTCCCGTAGGACGAGGAGAGACGTTCTGCAAGTGGTGATTTATTTTTATTGGCGTCGCCGAGCGCTGCCAACTGTATTATGATAGCGCCAGCTCCCAGCACGATGAGCTGCAGACGTTCGACCTGATCTGTCTGATAAAGCGTGGGAGATCTTCTCCTGTCATCAATCCAGCCACCCGGAAGGCTAAGTGCTGGAACTTCTGCCTTTTGGAAATCTTCTGTCCTGTGTCTCTGACCTCTCTGGCTGCATTCCTGTAGAATAACAAAGCAGTTAAGGCTCTTGCGCGCTGCATGTGACCTGTCGTATACAGTAATATCATTGTGTTTTCCCAGAAAGTCACCCCTCACCTTGATCTTCAAAATCTTCAAAATACAACAGCAATTGAAATCCAATTTCTCAATTGAGGACAAAATTAAGTAGGTGGGGTCCCCAAAAATCAGAAATGGGACCCCCCCCCCCTTGCATAAATGGAGTAATTACAGGAATGTTTTGTGGTCAGCATGTCCTTTGACTTTCAGTTCTCACAGCTGGGGTTGGGGAATATTGTGTGCCGGATTTGTGATCACTCTGCAAGATGGTAACTCGGCAAGTGTTGAGTAGCCAGCAGCCAAAATCGCTCTGCACCTCACTTTGGGCAGCCCACTGGAGCTCAGCAGGTGTGAGCCTGGCCAGGACCTGGAGGGGAGACCTCCTGGGAAAGCTAGGGTTGCTGCTGGAAGAGGTGTTAGTGGGGCCAGTAGGGGGTGCTCACCCTGCGGTCTGTGTGGGTCCTTATGCCCCAGTATAACTGGGGAAACTATACTGTAAAAATGGCGCCGTCCTCTGGATGAGACGTAAAACCGAGGTCCTGACTCTCTGGGGTCATTAAAAATCCCAGGGCGTTTCTCGAAAAGAGTAGGGGTGTAACCCCGGCGTCCTGGCCAAATTTCCCATTGGCCCTTACTTACTTGTGTGTCTCAGGGCGTCATGAGCTGGCGTGCGGCTGGTGTCCCGACTGTGACCAGGGGTGGGCCAGCCCTGCAGCAGCAGCCTTGAGCCTCGGATCCTTCCGGAACCCGGAGCCGGCCAGGGACGCCAGAAGCTTCCGGCCATCGGGATGTTCGCCAAGCTGAAGAAGAAGATCGCGGAGGAGGCGGCCACCGTGCCTCGGACCGGGGGCCGGCTCCCTCGGACCGTCAGCAAGGAGTCCATCACGTCCGCGGGCGCAGACTCCGGGGACGACTTCGTGAGTGTTTCTCCTACTTGTAAAAGTTTCCAGTGTTTAAGAGGGGACTCTCTGTTGTTTTACGGGCTTTTTTATTCCTCCTTGGCTTTCTGTCCTTTTTCCAGTTAGCACTCCTTGGCCAAACTCCAGCTGCTCGTCTTTAGACGACAACACCCCCTTGCTCTCCGGCTGGTCGCGCTGTTTTTTGCTGAGCTCGGCCGCTGGGGGAAAAAAAGAGTCGAGGAAGAGCAAAGCGCCTGTCCAGTCACAGTCGGGAGCTTTATTACGTGGATATAGAAAGGCCCAACAATGTTTTGGATTATTCTGAGGCGTTTATTTCAGGATAGGCTCTGTCATTTGCACTTCAGGGTCAGTTCTTGGCATTGGTAGGTTAATTGTTGTTATTATTAATTATAATAATAAAATATAGCCTCTTTAAAAGTGGCTTCTCAAAGCGCTTTACAGTCAGATGAAAGCACACAAGGAGAGGAGACAGCAGGATTGCCAGTGGCCCTTACCAATCATGGCCTCCTAATAATCCCCCTCTATGAATTGGCTTCATTACTCTGCTCTCCTCCCCACTGAGAGCTGGTGTGTGGGGAGCGTTCTGGCGCACTATGGCTGCCGTCGCATCATCCAGGTGGATGCTGCACATTGGTGGTGGTGGAGGGGATCCCCATTACCTGTAAAGCGCTTTGAGTGGAGTGTCCAGAAAAGCGCTATATAAGTGTAAGCAATTATTATTATTATTATGCATGTGTGTTTTGCACCCTGGTCGCTTGCGGTGGTTTAATACAGTGCTGGATAGAGAGTGATTTATGTAATTGCATTCGTATGGCAAGAAACAAGCATGTGTCTCCGTCAGTGTCGGGGAACTGATGGGTCTAATGATTGTGGAGAGGGGCTGTTGGTTACAGATCTCAAACCAGGCCCTGAGAGGCAGTGAGAGATCTGAGCTCAGAGAACCGTGAAATTCAATCCAGCGATGAGCGAAGTGAGAAAATGGTGATGATTGGTTCCTAATGCGAGTGATGCTGCTGTTCTGCATTAATGGAATCATGGAGCGCAGTTTGCCATTAAAAGCACAGCTCTGTCCCAGTAATTAGGAGCCCAGGGAGCTCTGATTATCAGCGTTGTTTCTCTGGAGTGTGCGGCTGAGAATCTCTTCATGGATCGGGTACTGAGAAATGGTTCCATCTTTATTTTTCCCCTGCACTGCTCAGCTGTGCGTTGTGATGGGCTGCTGTCAAAGCAATGCTGCTTATGAACACCAGTGTGGCGAAACGAGTCTTCTGTTACAGGAGAAGACAAAATGAAAACATTGTCAGGGATTAGCATGGGGTGCTGCACAGCAGAGCACCTCTAGAAGTTGGAAAATATTTGTCTTTGTTAAAGGGGAACTGCAATGTGATTTTTACGTTTCGGGGTTAGATAGAATCAGCACTGGCGAGTGCATTTCAAACCACCGTGAAATTAAAATGTATACAGTAATGTGTAAAACCTCCAATTTGCGTCACAAAATAGACAGAATTTCCAGGTATATTGCAATTCAGGACGAAGCGACCAAACATCTGTTGAGGTGAAACGGCCCTATGACACTGTAAACAAGCAGGCTTGTGAATCCATCTCTCTTAATTCAACAGAAATATTGCTCTCGACATCCAGATGGTTTTGCCGACAAATACTACTTACTTGTTAACGTGGTGAAATGTCTGCTGCACAACCTGTGCTTTCGCTCATACATCACATTAGTCTTTACAGGGACTAGTGAGCAGGAAGGGCTACACCGCATCACAATTCTCTTAAACTCTCGCTCTCGCCCGTGGGGAGACCGGTTGTATTCAACAACAAAGGCCAACGCACGGTACTTTCCCAAAGTTTTTTTTGTGAAAAGTTTTGTGCTTAGTTCCAAATTAAATGTTTAAAAAAAAAATAACACTTTCTCAAAAGGTGGTAAGCTTCTGTGCTCTTTTGGGGCTGTTTTCAGCATGAAATGTGACAACTGGGTGAAAAGAAATGATACAATCACAAATCAGTAAAAACAATATCGATTTGAGAAAAGATTGTCTAATTTCAGTTTTTTTGGCGATTACAAAACAGTACAGTTGATCTTTGGGAGTGTTACTACGTCTTGTCTGCTGGTATACAGTTTCTCATCTAGGAAACATTTACCCAGCCAAGGAGCGCTTGTTTTCTAATCAAATTAGAAGGGCAAAAGACCGGTTTTTCCAGGGCGCTTTTCCAGTTTCCAGAGCGGAGTTTTCTCAGGAACGACAGTCGCTTTTGGCTCTTCTTACATATGGCGTCCATGTTTTCCTCAAAAGGTTAGCTTGTAATGACCAGTAGGGCCAAGATATTTGTGACTGTTGACAATTTCAATTTCCTGCTCCTCAGTGACTGTTGGTCTTGCAGCGGGTGGTTGCTTTCTATAATCAATGATCCCGTCTTTGGTTTTCAACACACGGAGTTGAAGGAAGGAATGTTTACGCCATTCAACTAAATAATCCATCACAGGCCCACGATCAGTGCCTGTGTCTTAGAGGAGACGGACAATGACAGTCATCTTATTCAGCTTCTCGTTTGTAACCGTCCTGTGTCCTCGATACGGAGCGGTGATTGACTTTTTCGGGGCAGTGCCTTGGCCACGGAGGCGGGGTTCGGGGCGAGCCAGAGAAAGTGGACGCTAAATGAAGGGTTCGTGTTTTCCAGGCTTCCGATGGGAGCAGCTCCAGAGATGATCTCTCCTCGCAGCTCCTCAGGAGGAACGACCAGATCAGAAAGCTGGAGGCCAAATTGTCAGGTAAGATATGAACTTCCCTCCTTCCTTTTTTTTTTAAACTGAGGTCACGGCCGATGTCTGTTGGGAGGGGGTAGGCCGCCACAAATTCCCAGTGACAGAAATGTCAAGAAGGAGATTCACTTTGGCATCACAGTAAACATGTCTGAGTCCCTTTGTTCCAGCGTGAATCTCATGCATTCCTGCCTGCCTTTGAAGCTCTCACGGACTAGAATAAAAGCTGTCACAGCCCTGATCATAACTTGCCCCATAGTTCCCCCGTTTGTTTTCATATCCTGTATTGCTGGCGTCCAGTTTTCACATTGTCTGCCGTGAGGGATCTCAGAATAACGCAGAGGGATGGCCCGAGCTGTGCCAGCAAGGAACAAAGGAGTTCTCTCTCGCACACTGCAAGCGAGCGGAAGAGGCGCTGGGACCTGATGATGTCAGATGGCACGACGAGGTGTGTGCTGTGCAGAGCTATTGCCAAGCCTCTGACGCAGTGCCATTGTGAGGCTGGTAGCTTTGAGCCGCTCAGAAAGACGTCATATCCCAGAATCACCCTCTCCCTAGCGCGCCCATAAAATTGTGCGATGGTTACGTTTTTCGTGGAAAAGTGAAATCAAAGAGCAGATACTTGTACGCCTAGGCGGTAAAAAAAACTCAGTTAAATTTCTGTAACTGTAAAAAATGAAGTAGGTTTCGTTAGACGAAACAAACGCAAAAAAATGAAACAGTGAAAGTCAAAACCTCAGTCTTCTTTCAGAATTTGAAGAATATTAAAGCCAAAAACAACTTGCACTTTTACTCCTGAAGGACTTGAGATTGTTTTCCGGCGGTAATGTTGTGGCTCTCCACTACAGTGATGTCCTGTGAAATTATCTCAGGTGTGAGGTCACAGGCACATTGACATGGTTACCAGTTGTTCAAGACCGGGTCCACATTTATAACGAGAGAAAGTGCGCAGACAGAATAAGATACGAAAACAAATTAGAGGTGGACATGTCAATATTTTTTTTGGTAGCGGCCCAGAACGTGTTAGTGCACCTTAATGCTCTGCAGAATACTTTCACTCTCGTAAGTTCCCTGCAGAAATTCTGGGTCTTGTTTTCTTCCATAGTGCATCATGTTTGAAGCATAGGAAATGTTTCTTTGACTAAATGTCAGTTGTTGTTTTTTTTGTTATTATGTTATTTTAATAACATATAACATTCTGTACAATTTAGAAGAATTTGAAACATGGTGAAAGTGCCCCTTTCATTTTGCGCCCTTAGCCTGTAAAAGATTGTTCTAAACAGTCGTTTCCCGGAAGAAGAAAAAAATTCAGCTGCAGACGTGAGATGCCAGTAGATGCTGTTCTCTGTGCTGTCCTGAAAATATTACATTCAGCATCGTTACCTTTTTCTCTTTGCTTTAATTCACACTCCCTGGGCTGTAGATGGACTCAGAAAGCGTGAATGATGATTAACTTCCAGCCCGCCTGATTTTGTCTGGGGGGTTTTTGGTGCTCTCGCTACGTAATTGAAGAGAGCCGCGTGATGTGTCTGCCGTGGCGGTTAAACGGAAACTTCTAGCCTGTGTCAAAGACGAAGGGGAGCCCCCTGAGATCCGCGCTCGGGCACAAGTCAAAGACTGCAGAGCGTGAACAGAAAATATTGCTGACACAGCTCGGCCTCTTTGTTCTAGTCAATTTATGATGCAGTGTGCTGAGTGAAACCATCACATGTGCTTATGACAGACACGGTTCGTGGGGAGAGCACAGACCACAGAGGACAGCAGTGTGGAACTGTGAGGCTGTCAGTAGCTCCACAAGAGTGTTCTCTCTGACAGCGTGCAAAACTGAGACACTCTGAAACGAGTCCCCCATGTTCAAGGGTTTTGGGGGTTGTGTATGTTTAGAGGAGAGTGAAGTCTCCAGCACTTACCTTGCATCCCCTCTCTACTTTTACACTGTAGTATGTTTCCTGAGGTCACCCCCAAAATGAGCCTTCAACTCCTGCATGCGGTCTTTGACCCAGGCTGGGGGAGGCAGACTCTCCCTCCTCTTACCTTGACGAGAATGGTTTTCTCATTGCTGAAAATCATTTTTTTTCCAGTTCCATTGTCCACTCATGTTTATCCTGTGTTTGTCCTTTTTTTGTGGTTGTTGTTTTTTGTTTTTGTTTCAAACCTACCTGCCCCCTCGCTGTGTGTGCCCCTCCCTCCACCCAACCCCCCCAGACTACGCTGAACAGCTTCGGCTTTTGCAGAAGACGAAGGAGAAGCTCGAAATTGCGTTAGAAAAACATCAGGATTGTACGTAACCTTTATTTCCTCCTCCTTGTTTCGCTTGTGGGTTTTTTTTTTTTGTTTCTGTCATTTTTTTTTGTCTGCTTTTAATGGCCAAAAGGCTTTCTTCCCCCCGTGTGGAGAAAAAAAACATGATTCAGGAGGGGGTAGCTCTTGGACTTTCGTTTGGAGTAGCACCAGAGTGTGAACTTGCTTAAATCACTGCCTCGCAGACGTATCAGCCCTGAACATCTCTCGTACAGGACAGAATATTTTGCTACCATTCCACACAAGTACTGTGGAAGCCACAAAGTGTAGGTAAAAGTAAGAGATACATTGTAATTTACGTAATTAGTGTTTTTTAATGGAAAATTGTGTTGTGTGCAGGTAGTATAAGCAGTATAAGATCATTCTAAATTTGAAATGTGCATGGAACATCATCAGTGGTAAAAACTATAAGGGTAAGTGCTTAGTACGGATGTGTATAGTAGACAAGATTGTGCCCTGCAGATGAGTTCATTTCTTTTAAAACTGGCACAGTCGTGTGGTTTGAGTAAAGAGATATCAGCATGGAATGAAATGGCTGTTGCTAGTGGTATTACAATATCATTAATGGGACAATTACTTGATTATGTCTGTTAATACCATGGTTTTATATTGATCTTACTCAAGACTTAAAACCCTTAACAGGAAGTTAAATATTTAGGCTTTGAACCTGTTATTAGAACCTTTGAACAAAGTGATTTGGGTTTTTAGGTAGGTAAAACAATTTAATTAGAGCCTTAAGTTAGCTGCTCTCAGTCATAGGCACCCTTGTTTGAGTATGGGGCCTTGGATTTAGCTAAAAGTCAGACATAATTAGTGTGCTAATTGGCAAGAAACTGCTTCTGTGGCATGGGGTGCTCATAATCAAGTTATTTCAGATATTTAGCTTTTCACTGAAATTAATAATGTTGACAACCTCTGAAATATGAGTTGTCAGCTTTGAGCTTCTGAGAAATATTGGGTTTGAACAAAACCTCTAGGATTTGTTTATAGTGGACCTGTTTAAAGCTCCATGCTATAGATTGAAGCACTACTCCAAAATTCCCAGCAATGCCTTAAGACTGGGAAGCACCAATCAGTCAACAAGAATTAGCTTTGAGGGAAACACATCTGTACTGCTTCTTGTACTACAAAGCTGCACTTGGTTGGGAAAACGAGGTTTCTGGTGGACCTTTGTTTTGAAATCAAGGATCCTGACAACTATACAGTATATCACTGAACATGTCCTGCTACTATGAAAGAGTAGATATGCTGAACATCTCCATCGAGATTACAGTACGTGGCTCAGAAATTCCTTACATTTGCACTTGATCTCCTGTGAAGCTGATCAGGATGGTTGCCCTTCAGCTCCCAAGTATGTGATGCACTCCTAGCTGGGAGAAAACGAATCCCGCTTCTAACGTAAAGCGCTCTGGGATTCCTTAGCAAAATGTACCTCTGTGTATAAACACAGTGGGATTGCCATTTCCATGTGGGGGGTGTTTTTTGACTCTCGGGGACTGAGGCTGGTTGTGGGGAGGGGGGGCGTGTGAGTGTCTAAATTTCTCTTCCCCGGCTGGCTTTGATCCGCGCAGCTTCCATGAGGAAACTGCAGGAGCAGAACGAGGCCTACCAGACCAGCCGAGCGAAGATGGCCGAAGGCATGACCTTGGCTCTGGAGAAGAAGGATCAGGTAACGGCGCTGCCGTGCTCTTCGTCGACACGCGGGAGCTTTTCCGAGGCTGATTTCTGTCTTTATGTGAGGAAAAGGGCTGTCCTGCCACTTGGGTGCATTGGCAAACACAACTGATAAAGGGGTTTGGGTTTTTTCGTTGCTTTTGGGGCTTTTGCTTTAGTTTTTGGTTTTAAGGTTGGCGTTTCCTTTGCCCAGCCCCTTGAATTCCCCTTTTCCGTTTTTTTATTATTTTTTTTAATTAGGCCCCTTTCTTTAGGTTTTTTTGGTTCCTTGGAATTGGGAATTTTGTTTTTCCGGGCCACTTGCCTTGCTTTTTTCCGTTTTTTGATTTTTTGATTTTTCTTTTGGCTTTTCATTTTTTTTTGGCTTTTCGGATTTTCAAATTTTTTGCTTTTTCCTTCCGGGCCAAGGTTTTTTGATTTTTTTTTGACTTTTTTTTGTTTTTTTTTCGGGATTGGGGGGTAAGGTTTGTTGGGTTGGACCGGTTGGGTTCAACCCGGTTTTTAAAGGGGCGTGTTTCCTTGGGGATTGATTTTCTTGCCTTGCTTTCGGCCCTTGCAAAAAAAAAAAAAGACTCATAGCAGCTCCGTCACATACACCATGTGTTAGGCTGAGATTGTTATTGTGAGTCATTCACTTCGATTATACTTTGATGCAATGCATCTTACACTTGTACCCATTTATGCAGCTGGTATTCACTGAAGCAGTCTGAATCAAGTACCTTGCTCATGAGTGCAACAGCAGAGCCTCACCCAGGATTCGAACCTGCAACCCCCACTTTGAATTTATATTCCTAACCTCTCTTCCACACTGCTGACACTGCTTGCTTCCCTTCCATGTGTCGAACAACTTCTGTATTTTGCTAAATAAGGCAAATGCGATTAATTTTTTATTTCTTCTGCCTTTCTTCAGTCACTCACAGTGGTTAGCCAGATTTCATATCACAGACATTCATACTAACTATGAAAGCAGACGACGTATTTTTCAACAAAGGCTGATCAGCTTTGGTTTATCCTCTGTGTGAGAAATGGACAATTCATCCATTTTCTAAGGCAGGGTGCACACTGAACACTAGACAGGACACTAGTCCATCTCAAGGCAGACAAATGGACACAAGACACTAGAATTGAATCAGGGCTCCAGTACTCCAAGGTAGTAACCAACCACTGCGCCTCCCTAGAAATCCCTCAGTTTAAACTAATACAAGTAAATTAATCTACATAAGGAGCTCAGAGCTATTGATACATGTATCTGTGTATTGGAATGTTAAGAATGCTTTCAAGTCAACTTAATCCCTCTTGTTGAAAACGCCCACATTTGCATTAGTGCCTTTATCAGGTTTCTGTGGGTGGCTTTTACAGTGCCGTTCAGTTACAGAGCACAACCTGTGGTAGTTCTTTCCTAGGTTTAATTAAGGAGCCCCATTGGGTGACAAACTGTGGAAATGTTCATATGTGGTAGATTGTCAGTGACAGCACAGGACAAGGTAGGACGCTGTATTTGTTAACAGGTAACCCAAAGCAGGACTAAAGTGGTCAGTGTGATGGTCAGCTGGACAGGGTGGAAGTAAAAAAAGAATGGCCACCTTCCCTCTCGGACTGGCTGGTCTTTCGCTCTCTGCTGGTGTTAGAGGCTCTAACTCTCCGGGCCCATCCTCAGGAGAAGGCCACCCTGACGTCGCGTCTGGACGACATGATGGAGCAGAGCCTGAACCTCTTCAAGAAGAGAGACGACATCGACGAGCTGGAGGGCTTTCAGCAGCAGGAGCTGGCCAAGGTGAAACACATGGTAATGGTCACTGTGGGCTTCTTTTTCGTGCTGGGGCCTGTGACGATTGTGAAGTGAAGATGGAGGCTTTGTTACCCTCGTGCCTCCCAGCGCTGGGGCCTGGGAGGGCTGTCTGTGTGGAGTTTGTATGTTCTCCCCGCGTTTGTGTGAGTTTTTCCCTGGGTGTTCCGGTTTCCTCCCACAGTCCAAAAACATGCTGGTAGGCTTATTGGCTTCTAGGAAAATTGGCCCTGGTGTGGGTGTGTGTGTGTGTGTCTGTGAAATGAAAACCTCACTACCTCGTATTATGTCACGGCTGAAAGGGATAGGCGCCAAGAGTACTCACGCCAGCTCTGACAGATCACGCACACCCGTCGAGAACGAGGAGGGTTATATATCGGCCGCCGGCGCCAGCTCTGCTCCTGAGCCCGACACAGGCAGCACTGCTAGTGTTGGCATGCGTCGAAAAATGGCGACATAGCGCTACGATCTAAATGATCGAAGTGCAGAGTGCTGTTTTTGTTATATGTGTGGGCGCGCGCTCATGTTGGTCTTTGAGATTTTCTGTGGTTCCTGTGAGGAGATGACCTGTAGGCGGTACTGGGATGCTTTGGTTTGATCGGGGGCGGTACTTGGTCCAAAAAGTCTGGGAGCCACTTGTTGTAACAGAAAGAATAAGGTTCTGGATCCCGAGATGAAGTAGAACAGATGAGTTTATTGCATGCAAGGAACAATAAAGCCGAAGTCTTGTTTCCCGCAAGAAACAACAAAAAGTATTGTTCGACGTGCCGGTACAAACTTTTAGGTTATATAGTCCTTCCTTGCTGCTTCGGACGTCATTCGGTGTGATGGTAAGGGGGGTTAAGAGCCAGTTTAGAGACCCTGGCCAAATGGTCAGTTTAAGATTATGCCCCCAGGGGGTTCCTTGCTCGCATCTGGAATCCTTATCAGTTAACCCCCTTTCCTGCCATAGACCCCTGTTGCTTAGAAGTCTAATTTTCAGGCAGAACTGACTTAAGTTCACCCTTTTTACATCTTGTCTCTTACTTCACACTGGGTTAGAGGAAAACAAGAGGGGCGACCAACGCTGCTAATTAAACCCGGCTTCTGTTTGTAAGCTGCTGAGAAAGGAGGAAGCCCTCAGTCAGAGAGAACGGGAGCTGGAGAGACACGGCCAGGAGCTGCGGAAGGCGAGAGAGGAGCTGGGCCAGGCGAGGGCGAGGAGGGAGACCCTGGAGGAAGAGCAGCGGCAGTGCCGGAGCCACAACGCGCAGCTCCGAGCCGAGAGGTGAGCGGCTCCGGGCCCTGCCCGCCGCGCTCTTCGGGGAAAACTCTGGGAAGAGGCCTTCCCTGGGAGAGCTCTCACGGAGCCGAAGCTGGGATGAGTGAAGCATACTTGTTAAGTTACTGCTTCAAGTCCTCTTTAAAAACCTCTTTAAACTGCAGGAAGCATATCTGTTGAGAGATCCTCTTATTACTACATAAAATTAGATTTGTTGGGTATTGTGACTTTTGGAATTTAAGATTATACAGCCTTTTCTGTAACCCACTGAAGCTCAGCAGGTGGGAGCCTGGTCAGTACCTGGATGGGAGACCTACTGGGGAAAAACTAAGCCTGCTGCTGGGAGAGGTGTTAGTGGGGCCAGCAGGGGGCGCTCACCCTGCGGTCCATGTGGGTCCTAATGCCCCAGTATAGTGACGGGGACACTATACTGTAAACAGGCGCCGTCCTTTGGATGAGACGTAAAACCGAGGTCCTGACTCTCTGTGGTCATTAAAAATCCCAGGGCGTTTCTCGAAAAGAGTAGGGGTGTAACCCCGGCGTCCTGGCCAAATTTCCCATTGGCCCTCACCAATCATGGCCTCCTAATAATCCCCATCTATGAATTGGCTACATTACTCTGCTCTCCTCCCCACTGATAGCTGATGTGTGGTGAGTGTTCTGGCGTACTATGGCTGCCGTCGCATCATCCAGGTGGATGCTGCACACTGGTGGTGATGGAGGGGAGTCCCCATTACCTGTAAAGCGCTTTGAGTGGAATGTCCAGAAAAGCGCTATATAAGTGTAAGCAATTATTATTATTATTATTATTTTCATTCCAGAGAGATTTTTTGCTGCTTGATTAGGTACGCTGGGTGAAGATGCTGCAGTTGTTCTGCGGGAAGTGTTTTTGTTTTGGCTTGAGCAGGCACAGGTCTGGTGCAGGTTGGAGGTGGTATTGTGTTTCCTTGTTGAGTTGGGGACTGGGGATGGCTTGTCCCCTGCGCGCCTTGTTAACGGGGATCTCTGTGGCTCCCGAAGGGAGGAGCTGCTCGGGGTGAAGCAGGAAGCGGAGAAGAAGATCACCGAGCTGGAGAAGAGAGGGCAGGAGTTACAGACGGTCATTCAGCATGTTTCTGAGGATTTCCAAAAGGTGAGATGTGCCCCAGAAAATAACCCGTCTCAGAAACTGAGAATCGGAAACCCTGCACACCACTTGTCCTCTGAACTGGAGCCTTCACATCACATGAGATGATGACCTGTTTCTTTTATTTGTGCAGGGGTTTTTGATTTCCTGCTAACCAGATCTATCACCCAGAAAAAAGCAAAGCAAGGATTACTTATCCAGGCATTAAATTAGCCCTCCTTTTCCTTATTTTGGGGTGCTTTTCTTTATTTCCTTGTTACTCTTCCAAGTATTCCTGACATCCTGGGGAAGCTGCTTAATGCTTACTCGACATCCAACAACACAGTGACGCAATATGGCTTTCCAATCCACAATATTACCTCCATAACTGGGGTACGGAAAGCCAATGGACCCAAAATACACAACAGAAACCTTCTCAAAACTAGGTGAAGCTGGCTGTGAAGAAAAAAAAAACATGAGAGTAAAAAGGAGACTTTTCAGAGTGACCAACGAATGTATATCAACAGATTCACCTTCTGATTTTTATGTGTTCAGTTGAAAGCCTGCTGTGTTCAGTGAAAAAACAAGAAATAACAAAACGGTATTCCGGCCATGTACCTGGAAACCCCGAAAGTTTGGGAAATCTTAAGTTCTAGACATGAGGAGTGTGTATACATTTTCTGGAAAAGAAAAAAAGCAATGCCAGTTTTTCTATTGATAGCAGAATCCAATTATATATTAGGCTTTTATTCAGATAAAAGACTGTAGGTTGTTCATATACTGTATATATATTGAAGTACTTAATGTATTTAAAAAGGTGGGCTGAATTTAACCAACTGATGGTTGTTAAGTATCATGAAAAACGTCTAATGTCTTTTTTTTAAATGAAACTTTGCATGTACAGCAATGCACCAATGTGTCCTGTGTTTTTAGGCTCAGAGCATGGCCAGCTTGCTGGAGAAGACTCTAGCTACCCTGCAGGCTGAGCACGAGTCTCTGAAACTGCAGCACGAGCAGCACAAACTAAAGGTGCCTTTCCTTTCCTGCCCTTGATTTTTCTGCGAGGCTATGATGGCTCGTGCTAACCTGAGCCCCCGAGTGCAGGGGTCTGTGCTGCAGGGGATGTTCACAAAAGAATTTTCCGAAACCGATTTAAAGCAGGTTAAATCAGTTTGACATCATCTATAGATTGAATTCAAAGAGGACTTTGTTACTGTGCATGTATAGCACAGCAACAACAACAACAACATTACTTTATTAACCCTTTACAATTTCTTGCATAAGGAATGATCTTTTCGCATACCCCAGCTTACTCTCCATGAGACACACAGCTAGGGAGAGAGCCTGGGGTCAGAGCGCAGGGTCTGCCATTGTACAGCACCCCTGGAGCAGTTGGGGTTAAGGGCCTTGCTCAGGAGCCAAACGGAGTAGGATTCCTCTGCCGCCTGCGGGATTTGAACCGGCAACCTTCCAGCCACAGGCGCCGATCCTTAGCCACAGAGCCACCACTCCGCCCCAAGGTCGGAGTGGTGACAAGGTCATACGAATAGCCTTTAAGAGTGTATTGGGCGGTTGTGCATTTATTCAACTTAAAAACTCATCTCCTGTACAATGTACTGCTTTTTGATATTAATAGTTACCTTCCTCGACATTTACAGTAGCTTTGAGGGGTACAGAGAAATGACGATTGGGACAGGGGCTCTCAGAATCGTATTTGTGCTTTGTGGCTAATGCAAAAGAACAAATTCCTTTGACAACCTGAAATCCTTTCCATGTCTTTCATTTAATTTTTTTGATAAGATGGAAAGGGACAATACATGGTTCATAGTCAAGCTCCAGCAGAAGATACACAGCCCGTCTGAAATGATACACTGCCTTGCACAAGTACTTAGATCCTTTCAAAGTTTTCAAATGTTGCTGGATTACAGGTGTTACACATCGTTTCCCAGTCCGTATTTTTATTGCAAAATCATTTGCTCAAACACGTGAGCAGAGGCACAAGCAGTTATATCCTTGTGAGGGCAGTTTCCTTCACCTCTGTAAATCTGCTTGAGTATTTCAGTTTTTGAATGTCTTTAAGATATCGGCTGACAAATAGCTAATTTTGTCTGTGTCTGAACTATAAGGTGGGAACATTAATTTATGAATTACTTATAGTTATGATTTCCTCTTTATTAATAATTTTGCTATAAGTTGCATTAGTTAGGGACTTATAATGAGACCCTCCATACTGTATTTGATCAGCTACGTGTGAAACACACACTCTGTCTAACTTATGGTCTCTAACATGAGTCAATTGCATTAATTATTAAGGGAAAGTCTCCCACTTTGTGTTGTATGAGCAAAGTCAATGCTCTTACGATCCTGAACCCTCCATATTTATATTGTTCTTCTGGGGGAAAAATGTGCTTTATATACGTTTTTTCACTATATGTTGTGACTTTCTGGTTGTTCATCTCAGTTTATATTGGGGGTGGCCTGGATCTGATAAATGTGGTTATTAACTGGAGGGTAACAGCAGTCAAAGCTTCTGTTTTATTCTCGGCTGGAAATCTGATGATAAGACAGAAGAGATATTCTAAGTCCGGATGGCTCCTGAAAGCACCGGTCTTCTTTCCTTTCAGGCGATGGTGGCTGCAGAGGAGAAGGACAAACTGATCGTCCATCTGCAGGAGAAAGTGTCCGCTCTGGAGAGGAGGTTTGAAGAGAATTTTTCTGAGGATGAACACGTACAGGAACTTCTTAAAGAGGTATCCCTGGCTGTGCCATTGTCTCACCGGTGGAATTTTTTTCTACAGATAAGAACTGCTTTGACTGATTGTAAGAAAGGAGTTGACAGCTATTGACAAACAATTATTACACATTTCTAAACTATTACTTGATAAATACATAACCTCCACTCCCATCTGCCGTTACATACTTTTCATGTTTTTTTAGAGTAATTCATGAGCATACGGGGGGCATGATGGCACAGTGGTGAGCGTTGCTGTTCACTTTCTAGGGTGCTGTCCGTGTGGAGTTTGTATGTCCTTCCCACGTTCGCATAGTTTTCCTCTGAGCGCTCCAGTTTCCTCCCACAGTCGGAAGACTTGTGTTACGACCTTCAAAACACGTCTAGGGTTTGACCACGAGCCGCAACATAAAAAAAGAACACCCGAAATATCAGATTCCCCTGGGAAAACAAATCAATTTTATTCCCATCGCAAATCCAGGGACCCAGTAGTCAACGTTCGTGCTCAAATCGGGAGGGGAGAGACAACAAAAAAAAAAGAAAAGAAGCCCAAGCAAAGCTAACTGACTCAAAGAAAAATAAACCGACTAGATAGACTGGAACTGGGGGGAAAAAGGAGGTTGTGCCTGAACAATAAGACTGTACCCCAGAAAAGTCTTCCCCTGTCTTGGCTAACTAACCAAACCAAAACGAAAACAAAAAGAAACATTCAACATGTCTTTCCCCATCCCAAGAACCACGCACCGCTCAACTGCAGTCTCGTCTTCCCCTTTTAAATGCTCCCACCTCATCTACGTAATTAATTGGCAACGCCTGGAAAAAGAGGACAAAGCAATTCGGAAAAAAACAATAACACTCCAACCAAGGCCCATCACACTTGGGTTCTGGTAAAACGGGCCCTGGAGAGTTGGTGTGTGCCCTTTGATGGACTGGCATCCCCGTCTAGGGTGTGCCCTGCTTTTCGCCCATTGCTGCCAGGATAGACTCCCTTCTGACCCTGAATTGGCGAAGGCGATTAGAAAATTGATTCATTTCCGCGCCTGTTTTATATTGTTTCACAGAGGAAACGCGTATGTTGTTTTCAGTTGCCTAAAAATGTACACTGCGCCTTGCTAGATCCTGGCTGTACTTCACGATGAAAAGAAACTGAGAGAGAAGTCAAATGTGTAATCTACCGGGTTAAGGTCATTTTCTCTGATCACAGAAATCAGCCCTGAGACAGAAGGTGGAAGAAACCAGGGCACAGCTGCTGAAGACCCGAACGGATCACAGCGACACGGTCAGCCTGCTGGAGACCCAGGTAAAACGACTGACTGAGACCGACTGAGGCTTTTGGCTTTTGTTAACATACGTCCGTCAGGAAGTTGCCAGGGCACTGTATTGCTATCACAGTGTACATTTTTCATGCAGTGCTTATCGGCAAGGTCAAAGGTGTTGGAGTGTCTTTTTCTTTTTTTTTTTACTTCTGTAAAATAATTTTCAGACGCATTGTCCTGCTGGACGTTTCCTACACGATGTGAAAACGGGATGCAGGACGATTTAGGTCGGTTTTCTTTTGTACATCTGTTACTCTGCCCTGCTTTCACCCTCCAGATAGCCAAGCTCAACAGCAAGGTCGCGGAAGTCCAGACATTGCTGCAACACAAAGACGAATCGGCGAGGTTGTTGCAAGACAGGAGCAAAGCTCAGGTAATGGTCAAGCTCTCCCGGCCTGGTTTTGGAAGTTCACATCGCCAGTTTCCTACACAGTGTGAAAACAGGATGTGGGAAGGTTTATGTTGACTTGCTGTACACCAATATCAATAGGCAAAAAAAGGAAGAAAGGAACACTGTGCAAGGGGAAGACCACATACATTTTAGAGTGGTTTGAGTTCTCAGCCTTTGTTTATCCTTTGCTGTCTTTCCCCCTCACCACTTACTTTTCAGTATTTTTCATATCAAGTAGTTCAGGTGGGGAGCTGCGTCAGCATGCGTAGGCTGCAAAGGAACAAGTAATAGGTTTATTCCATGCTGAAAAAAAGAAGAAAGGAAACACAACATTTCGGCCGTGGAGCCTTGAAGACACCTGAGGAAGGCTCCACGGCCGAAACGTTGTGTTTTCTTTCTTCTTTTTTTCAGCATGGAATAAACCTATTATTGTTCCTTTTTCATATCAGGGCTAGTCTTCATGATCAATTAAGAGAGGTTTGGTGGCAGACTTGGAAAAACCACAGCCAGGCTGACTGAGTGATGAGTCCAGTTAAAAAACAGAGCCAGGTGGAGTGGGGATGAGGCATTGAGACTGGCAGTTGACGAAGCTGATGCAGTTTGGCAAAACAAAGTAGTATCGAGTTGAAAAGAAAGTGAGCGTGATGCTCAGATGTACTCCACGCTGAAGTGGTTGAAAGTTTTGGTAGCTGTTGAAAGTTGTTACAGTGGGCAAGTCTGGTGCCTTAGGGTGACACCGGTTCGAGAGTTCAGTAGGAAAGCAAAACCGTCCTTCCAAGTCCGATCTCCTGCAGCCCCCTTTACTGTCATACAAAAGTTTGGTGGACCAGTAGGTGGCGCTCTTACCTCGGGACTACACTTTCCTGTCCAACGCCCCAGTATGGTGACCAGGAACACCGTGCTTTGGGATGTGCTGTTTGGGTAGACATTAAGCCTGACAACTTGATCATTAAAGTAGGTACGATAACCCTGGTACTCTGGCTGAACGCCACCCTGGATTTGCATAATCCGACCTACCTACATTTCCCACTTAATACAGGATGACTGCCGTGCTTCAACAAAATGGGCACTGCACCTCACTGATGGATGCAGTTGGTCATGTCCTATGTGTAAAGCATCTTTTGGGTTAAATAGGGCTATACACATGCAAAGAATTATTTATAAAATTAAGAAGGATTCAAATGAGCTGTGCAAGGTGAAGGCCAGTTTTAATGGTAGTTTGTCAGTTCACCTTAACTGCAGTTTGGTGACTTTAAGTTGCCAATGTAACCAATAGCAGCAAGTGCTAAAACTGCTTACCAAGAAAGACAGCGTTCATGACGTCTTTGTGGTTTTTTTTCCTTAGGTCAGCGAGCTGGAGCAGCAAATACAAGATTGCAGTGAAAGGTTAAAGAAAAGCGAACAGCAGACAGCTGACAAAGAAGCACACATCCAAAAGCTGGTAAGTGCAGGTGTCCCTGTACAAGTGTGTGATTATCATCCTCTCAAAAAAATAGAAAATATCCCTTGCAGTGTGTCAGTCCTCCTCCAGTTCCAGTTGCTCCTGTAGCCTCATGGCATTGATCCCACTAGTTGCTCACATAAGTCCATGGTGTCAGATACTCGGTTAGCAGCAGCTTATGTAGCTCTGCGTGAGATTTAAGTTGTGTTTCTACAGTTTCTTTGCCCCTGAATTGTACTTCCTTTTGGTATTTACCTGCCAGTCAATTCCTGTAAACACCTGAGGATGTTCGGAGTAACACATTAGCCGGGTCTGCTGTTGCCTTCCACCACGTGCCAAGTATTTGTGGCAAATGTTCCTCATGGCTCTCATGGTAATTTCCTCACTACAGTAAAGACAGCCGGTGGAAAAGCTGTTTTGGGCATTTTAGTAGTACACTGCATTTGAAAATGTCTACTGTAATGTGACTGCAATCAGCAATAAAAAAGATTATATTTTTTGGGGAGGGTTTGGCAAGAAAGTCCTGTCAATAATTAAGTCGTGCTTTAAACAATCTAAGATAAGATCAGATCACTTTATTGGCCATATACAAGTTCTTGCATTAGGAATTTGTCTTTCCGCATACCCCAGCTTGCTCTCCATGAGACAGACAGGGAGAGAAGCTGGGGGTCAGAGCGCAGGGTCAGCCATTTATACGGCGCCCCTGGAGCAGTTGGGGTTAAGGGCCTTGCTCAGGGGCCCAACGGAGTAGGATTCCTCTGCCGGCCGTGGGATTCGAACCGGCAACCTCCCAGCCAATCCTGAGCCACAGAGCCACCGCACCGCCCTGGTTGACGGCCGAGTTCCCATCATGCCGCGTCGATGTGTTTTGCGTCCAGCGTGCCGAGCACGAGGCCGAGAGCAGCCGGCTGCAGCAGCAGATCTCAGCGGGGCGCCAGCAGAGCGCCGAGAAAGTCAGCCGACTGGAGGCCCAGGTCGGCGCCCTGGAGGTGGCCCGGGAGATCGACAGAACAGCCGCCCAGCACAAGATGGTGAGTAATCCAGCCCCTCTTCCTGCGCCGATGAGAGCGCTCGGCGATTGCCCTATTTCCTTTTCAACTGATCGAGCGCATTAGCTTCCTAGCTCCGCTGAGCCTTATCTGAAACCAACGTCTGACCACTTTGGTTTTCATCTCCATAAACTGCCCAGTGACAGGAGAGAGTCTGTGTCTCTCCCCCTTGCCAGTTATTTCCCCCGGTTATTTCTCTTGCCTTCAGAACAGCCCCCCTCTTTGTATTTCCGCCCTCTTGTCTGTGCCAGGCCTAGCTGGCTGCCCTTCCATCTCATTCCTTTCCTTCCCCCCCCCAGAGTCAGCTGGAGCAGGAGAACGAGAGTCTGAAAGCCAGCAGATTGGAGATGGAAAACACTGTGAGGAGACGAGAGGAGGAGCTGGAGGGTGCAAAGGTGAGGAGGAGCGCTGTGGCCTCTGTGGAGACGAGCTCAAACGTCATGTCTCACACCATCAGGCTAATGCCTGTCTGATGCAGTTCGACTGCCACTTGTTTTCCGTGTTCTCCCTGAATTCTAGATCGATGGTTTCTCCTTAAGATCTTTGAATCTGCAGAATTTTACTGCATACCCCCCTCAAGTTAGGAGTATCAGATTCCAGTTGCTGGATACCCTCAAAGCTTTGGGTGGTGGCTTCTTCTGGGGGAGCACACCGCACAGGCGAGCCCGTTGTGAGGTTTCTCTCGTTTGTCGGTTGTTATACGGACACGATCACGCACACCCCTCCACGCCTTCCGGCCTTGGCCGTTTCCGTAGGCCGAGCTGAGCAGCCGACAGACGGTGAGCGTGGAGATCGCGAAGGCGCTGGAAGAAACCAGGAAACAAAAAGAAGAGCTGCAGGAACAGGTCAGTAGTGCATTGCAAACGGGAAAAATGAATACTGTAAGCATCAACGTAAGTACGATAAAGAATAAAAAAATACATTTCATAACCCTGTTTTTAAGAGTGGTAGGGGTTCTTGCATTGGGATTTTTGGGGATGGAAATTCCATTTTATAAAATCAAGGAATTGCTATTTTTTATTATTATTTTGAATCAGTCATTAAATGGGACTCTGAACACTGGAAAATTCCTGTTTTCGCTCGTGCTGTTGCTGGTACACCACACTTATACTGAACTTATATTCTCCTTCCTTATTTTTTTTCGATTGCATGCATCTGACTCCCTGGTGCAAACGTGGCGTTTACAGCGAGTGGATCTTCTGTGCATTAAGCAGTATATATTGGATCAAACTGTCAGTTGTGAAGAGGAGACCTCCAAAGCACTTTAACAGGCTTCATCTTCAATACAAGCTTTGTTTTTCCTTGTAGATATTGTATGTGATAAAAGAATAGATTGTTTTTGGTTATTGCTCGGGGATTTCAGATGTCAAATAACAGCTAGGTTTTTCCCTATAAGTAAGACAGAAATAAGACCTCCACATAACCTTATCATTGAAGATAATCGGCACACTACATTACCACAGTTCCCTATCCCTCTTTACCTCAGAAAAGCAAAAGGCAATAAGTCAGCGCCTCTTCTTCTTGTCTGTACATGTGCTGTGAACTGTTATGAAGCCCTCTCTTGCTTGAAATGCCTGTTCCAGGTGCTGGAGTTCACTGCAGCTTTGAACGCCAAGGAGCAGTCCCTCCTGGAGAAGACAGAGGAGCTCGGCAAACAAGGGGAGGAAATGACAGCCCTCCGAGAGGGTGAGGGGTAGATCTTCGCCTGTTTCAGTCGCGTCTTGATAGTATTTTGCCATATGTTAGCAGTGATGCAAGGCGCTCTCAGCCAATGAGTTGGTCAGCCAATAGGTGGCACTGTTCCCTCTCTGTGGTAATCTCCCAGACGAATTATTGTAGATCAGTAAACCAGATTTGGGATTCAAATGTTTTGCTTCTTGACCTTCTCAGTATTGCAGGGCCATTCTTTGAAGGGGCTATAATAACAGATAACCTACCACTACAGGCTACCAAAGGTCTTTGTCTCATGGTGGTTAGCTGTGCTGTCTTGCAGTGCTGGGGCCCTGGGTTCAGTCCCAGATCTGGGGGTGCTGTCTGTGTGGAGTTCTCCCCCCCCCGGTTTCTGTGGGTTTCCGCTGGGACCTTCAGTTTCCTCCTACAGTCCAAAGACATGCTGGCAGGCTAATTGGCATCTGGGCAAGTTGGCTCTGAATTGAGCGGGTAGGAAATGGGGAAAAAAAATGGAGAGGTTCCATATTCTCATTAAGGTGATGTGCTTGGGTATACAAAAGGGCTTTCACAGTGTTAGTGGTAAGCAGTCTGGAGGAGAAAAGTAACAGAAAAGTGGGGCTTCGCTTTAAAGATTTATATGCGTAAGGCTGTGCAATAAGGCCTCCTTTAAAGAAAGTCATCATGGTTTTTACTGACCTTAGATCCCTGAAGTCTCCTTGATTGGTGGGGCTTGCCTCACCCTGTATTTCTCATTTAAGAAGAGAATTCCCATCTGGACCTTGATTTTTTGGCTTTTGTTCAGGATTACAAGCAGACTCCTAAGGTGGAAACCCTCCACTTGTCAGTCACAGGTTACGGCCCACAGACGTTTCCTGCTGCCTTTCCCGATGAAAGCTTTCCAAATCTTCTGGTTTGTAACTGGAGAACAGATGAAAAAGAGTGTGTGGAGCTGTGTGGAAGAGGTCTGACGGCACACATTTGCACTTCAGAGAGAATCTTCCCTGCTGTGCTAATTGTGATGTTGATGGCATTATTAATTGGCACTGAACCATCAGAACTAACTGCTGGCTGCCCTGAGATTATCTAAACTCTCATGTTTTCACAATCTTATGTCAAGCCTCTGTGTTTATCGCGTCTTTTTCATGATCAATCTTACTATTACATACTTTACTATGACACCTTTGTGTTCCACGGCCAGGTGTATTAATATTTAGGGACCTGAGAAAATAATGGGAGAAACTGACAACCTGATGATAGTTGGCAATCAGGCTGCCCCAATTGAAGCGCTGAAAAGAATAATTGAGCAATTAACACACCAAGCTACTGCCAAGTTTGAATGCAGCAGAGTAGTATTGTGGGGAAAAAACCTAAAAGACTCAATGCTAAGATTAACTATTAGTGAACAGGGGAGAGAAGGCCACAAGGACCACACTCTGCAATTTTAGTACCGGCTAGTTTTAAACTATTACCACTATTAATGATTAGCATTGTTGACTCGCAGAACTGGGGCCCTGGGTTCAAATCCAGACCTGGGGTCCTGTCTGTGTGGAGTTTGTACGTTCTCACCCGTTGATTGCCGGGTTAGGGTCCGGCTCCCCTGTGGCTCTGAATTGTGGGTAGGGGGAATTTTGTAAGGCTCTAGTATCGATCTAAAAGCAGTGTTTTGAGAGATGGAGGTTTCCCCAAACACGCCGACCCCTGTACTGAAACACCTCTAAAAGAGCTTTACCATTTCAGATTCCTCACCCCCGTCAGCCCACATGAAAGTTGCCATCTGGGTAGCTCCCCCTGTATAGAACGCAGTGCGGTATTGGCCTAGACATGGTATGTGGCTGTTTCCCGCATGGAAGATAAATTAAGATCACTTTATGGGCCACATACAATTTCTTGCATGAGGAAATTGTCTTTTCGCATTCCCCAACATGGATATGGTATATAGTATATGGAGTGGTGTCCATATCTTGGTACAAGCAAATATCTGACTTGTGCAGCACAATGCAACTGGAGAGATGAACACATACTTGATTCAAGGAGCAAGAGAATCTTATAGACAAGAGGCAGCACCACTATGGAACAAGAGTAGAATCCCCTTGTACTGTGATTGTATTTTTACAAACATGATTAAGAGAGAAGAGAGATAAGATCACTTTATTGGCCATATACAATTACTTGTATTGGGAATTTGTCTTTTGGCATTCCCCAGCTTGCTCTCCAGGAGACAAACAGACCGAGAGAGAAGCTTGGGGTCAGAGCGCAGGGTCAGACATTAACATGGCGCCCCTGGAGCAGCTGGGGTTAAAGGCTTTGCTCAGGGGCCCAACGGCGTAGGATTCCTCTGTCGGCCACAGGATTCGAACCGGCAACCTCCCAGCCACAGGCGCAGGTTCTTAGCCACAGGGCCACCGCATCGCCCACTATCCCCTGGGCCCCCAAACTCAGTGTGCCTTTCGCCTTTCGTTCGCAGAGCTGCACGCCGCGCAGACCAGACTGGCAGAGCTGCAGGCCGAGATGGAGAAGCAGCAGGGCTCTGCGGCAGACAGAGAGAGAGACGCCGGGACGCAGCTCAGCAGCCTCAGACAGGAGGTGTTGACTCAGACACAGCAGCTGGAGGCGTGCCAATCACAGGCAGGTTCCGTTGCTGGTGTTTCGGCATCATCGGAGTGGGCGAAGGGGGGGCAACAGGCTCACAGGTTCCCATTTTAGGAACACGCGGAGAAAAAAAATGCACCGAAAGCCGAATCTACACAAGTGATTCAACCGTCTAGGTCTTGATTAGACAAACAGCACGGCACACCTTTTTATTTTTAGCTGCGAGGTTTCTCAGCGGCCGCAGTCGCTTGAAATCTGCGGTTCATCTAAAATAAACTAGAGGAGCTGAGAGGGCCACACCTGAATGCAGTGTGGATTTAGTTTTAGTTTTTATTTCATTTGAGTTTTCGTTTTATTTCATTGGACGGGTCGTGCCTGTCTGACCCCATGGATGTGCTCTAGAAAAAGTGGCGAGATTGCATTAGCTAGTTTCCTATAGGAACTAATCTGTACAGGGTGGGGGATGAGCTTGAATTCAAGCTCAGAATCCACTCGTTTAAAAATTGTACTGCTTTATGATGACTCATATACAGAAAAGGAAGTAATGACAGGCAGCACAGTGGCTATTACTGGTTCACTAGTAGTTAGTAGTTAAAGTAGTAAAGTAGGGAGCTGCGTCAGCATGCGTAGGCTGCAAAGGACAGGTAACGGGTTTATTCCCTGCTGAAAAGACCAGAAAGGAAACTCAACGTTTCGGCTGTGGAGCCTTCTTGGTTAATACTATTTATACTAGTTAGTAGTTAATACTAGTTATATCACTGGTGAGGGATAGATTCCATAAGCATGGTGGCACAGTGCTCAGCATTGCTGCCTCAGAGCGCTGGGGCCCTGGGTTCAATTCTGGACCTGGGGTGCTGTCTGTGTGGAGTTTGTATGTTCCTCTGACTGCTCTGGTTTCCTCCCACAGTCCAAAGTTTTAACTATTTCAACTTTGTTTAAAGTGTTTTAATTCGTTTAACTGGCTTCTGGGAAAACTGGCCCTGCTGTGAGTGTGTGAGTGTGTGAGTGTGTGAGTGTGTGAGTGTGTGAGTGTGTGAGTGTGTGAGTGTGTGAGTGTGTGAGTGTGTGAGTGTGTGAGTGTGTGTGAGCCCAGTGATGGAATGGCGTCCCATCCAGGGTGTATCCTGCCTTGTGCCCGTTGCTTGCTGGGATAGGCTCCGGCTCCACCCCTGACCCTGAAGTAGTGACAGGTTAGTTAAAGAAATGTGGGCGGCCGAGAGGAAATAGGTAAGGCAGCCGAAAGAGAAAACGGATGAACTACAGGGCAAACACTAGTACAGTTTGCTGTCATCTCCCCTGCCTTTGTCCTGCTTCTCATTACTCTCCCAGCTGTAGCACTCCTCACACTCACCCTCCCAACTCGCTCTTTCTAGAGGGCACCAGGACCAGACAGCCATCGGCGCGCACTAGTCTGAGCCCGGCCCCCGTTTCTAACATGGTGCTCAGCCGGATCGGTGTTCGCTTGCAGCCACAGTCTTCCTGACCCGGGGGTGTGGGGGGGCGCTGTCTCGATTTTCCGCAAGGCAGGTGGCAGATCTCGAAGAGGAGGTGCAGACCCTCCACGGACGGTTGCGTGCCCAGGTGGATTGTGGGAAGGAGCAAAATGGAGCCGTGACGGCAGACGACGTGGCGCACGTTCAGAAGATGAACAGAGAGCTGGAGCAGCAGTTGGCTGAGAAAAATAAGGGGGGGGGGATGGGGGGGAGGGGAGGGGGACAGGTAGTTTATTACTGTGATTTAACAAATTCCTTTTAGAATTTCTGGATATGTTGTACGCTTTGAACATGCTTACAAAGACTTTCAGAAATAATACTGCACCTTAAAATCGTTGGACTCATGTCAATGTGGACAGGTTTTCAAATTTGGGCATTTCTCTGGGACAGTGCCTTGGTGCAAGATGTGCTCTGGGAGGCTTGTACTTGATCGAGTGTCAAGAATCTACAGGCAGCTTCCTTGGCATCAAACCAAACAAAGTGCTGTATCTAGGAAAGACTTTTCAAGAAAACAGGGATGAAAATGCTGCGAGGCATGAAAATCTGGAAAGATTGTTGTTGATATTGTTAATATTTAATCCTTCCACAGATCAAGCTCTGTATGAGTATCTGACTTAATTGGATGAGTGTTGTTTAAAGACATCCTCCAGTTCTTCCCCACTGGGCTAGTGGGGCATGTGATGTTGACACAAGTTTCTTTGGACCTGGGCTTAGCAGCTGAAACAATCTTGTCTTGCAGATGATAAAGCAGCTGCAGCAGAGGATGAGTGAGCTGAAGAGGACCCTGCAGAAGGAGCTGGTATGCTGTGGTATCAGCCCAGTGCCGTAGAGTCTGGGCTGAGGCATTTGTCAGCCAGGATCAGTAAGCATGTGGTGTGGGGTCAAGAGGAAAATAACTTGTCTTTCGCTTGCGGAAACTGCACACCGGTTCTGCCCCGGAGACCGCTGACATTACCCATTCAGCGTAAGGAAATGGGATTCGAGGTTTGGACATTCCGACGAATACTTCATAGGCACTTGTGGAAGGATAATTTAGGGTTTGTGCAGCCCACAAGATCACTGTATTTCTTTCAAATTTGAGCATTGCATTAACGTCCATAAATTATGGCTAAGAAATGCCCGATTTGCACTCCACAGTTTTGTAATTAAGCCTTTTTCGGCTTTTCAAATGTCTTATTCTGAATTTTGAAAAAATATCTTTGGCGTTTCGTGCGTGAACTCAGAAGTCTCCAGTACAAAAGAACTCGAGATCCAATCGAGCGACGTTTCCATTTAATTAAGTGTAGAGCTGGAATCAAGCGAGCAGGTAATAAGGAAACAGAATGTGTGAAAGGGGAATGAAAGTATCCCGAAGCTAATCCTAACCACACTATTAATCCCTACACTGAGAGCGCGGGGGGCGTGGCGTCGTTTTTGAGCGCAGCCTGTGTTTTGGTGCAGAGGCTGAAGCCGGACGCGGAGGGGGCCGAAGGGAGGGAGAGGCCGTGCGCCGAGGCCCCGGCGGCCAGCGCCACCGTCACCAATAACTCGGACCTCAACGACTCGCGGGAGATCAACTTCGAGTACCTCAAGCACGTCGTGCTGAAGTTCATGTCTTCCAGCGATGCGGAGGTGAGTGTTCAGGGCCCCTGGGCCGTTCAGGGGGGGTGAGACGCAGAATCCTCCGGCCCCCCTTTCTCCGGTCGAACTCCGAGCCGCAGCCCACCCCCACCTACCCGTGGGGGAAGTTGAGTTCCCCGTTCCCATCGCATTCCTGAGAGGGAGCCGCGTTGTTTCCGAGCGGAAGGGCTGCGGCGTTGGGCGGCCGACGACCTCAAAAAAATCGAGTTGGGGTTGCTGGTCAGTCGCGCAGAGTAGCCAGAGAGGCGCTCGGTCACAATCCCACAGGTGGCGGCTTCGCACCCTGGGCTCCTCGGCCAAGCGCAGACCCCACACGTCTGAACCCGCGGCCCCTCTCCGACCAAGCAGGACCACTGCTGCGGTGACGCATCGTCATCTGGCAGGAAATTAATTGACCGTGGTGGAAATGGAAAAAGGAAGTGCTTTTGATAGCCGGGCTTTTGTTACGTTTCTTAGTGAAGCTCGTGTGTGGAGCTGTTTTTAATGACAGGAATTTCCATTTGACTGTGGAAGTGGGGAAAAACCTGGAAAAATGGCTGCCTTGATATCCTGGATATCAAGGATAATCCCTCGCATAGACTGAGTAATAACAATCAGAATTTGAGCTTTTATGTGGAAAGGACAGCTTAGCTTTTAAACCCCCGTTCTGCACCCAAATAGAGAAGATTTGAGACTGTCAGCAGTGTCTATGTAGTCGTTACTTTTCACATTCTCCTTCATGGGGTGCCCTTGCAGTCTGACAGTAGTCATTAGGATTCAGAAAAGCCGCATGAGGCTGAAGAGAAGGTTTCAAGTTTCAAAGCTTGCTTTAGTCACCATAAAAAAACACAGGCTGAGAATTTCCTCGGCAGGATCTTAATTAAAAAAAGAAACAGAATCGAGAGAAGTCAGAAGCCAGTGCCGATCAGAAGCAGCAAACAAGAAGAAACATATTCTGGTGGTTATAGTGAATTTGTGGAGCATAAAATAGAATAATTAGGGTCTCCAAGGGCCCTGGAATGAGCAAGCATAGTTACTCGCTTTGAATTTTATCAATATCTAGAGTCCATACAGGTGAAGCTATTGGTGTACTGACCTCAGGATACGTGTTTATCTTAAAAGCTTATCCAACTGCAGACTAGGCCTCGGGGAAAAAAAGGCAGCTTTCTTAATGTATTTCAAAAATCATGCTAGCTGTAAATAAAAATAAACTTAAGAAAACATTCGTAATTATTTCCGTATCTGTGAAAAAAGTAACCTTGTACTATGCTTGCAAACTAATCACACCCCTCTTGCACAAGATTAATAGTGACTTTTTTCCACTGTAGAATTTTAAATTGCTTTCTCTATTGCAGTGGCAGTCCCAGAAATGTTAAGAGCTCAGTTCAAACAGTATGTCCATTCGAAACAGTCTTTCAGTAGGTGGTTTACCCTGCATATTTTTGGGTACAGGCTTTGCATCTAGTCCATCTCTCAGCAGCAGGACAGCTCTGGGTGTGTCCAGAGTTCGGTGGGCGGGACTAAGGTTCGGTGGGCGGGACTAAGGTTCGGTGGGCGGGACTAAGGTTTGGTGGGCGGGTCTAAGGCTCAATGAGAGGGCCTCTGTGCTGAGGAATGTTTCACGTGTCACGAGACATAACTTACATATGCAGCCAAAATCATTTACATTGAAATTCTCGTGTTTCTAGTCTTGTGGGTTTGAGGACAGTGTAGGGTAGCAGTGAAGGTTCTAAAACAGGCCTATTATCAGTGTCAGTTCAGAGAGTGTTGCACCTGTCATAACTCTGCACGCTACCTGGAGCCTGAAAAAGATGAATCTGTACTTTTATATATCATAATAGGAAATTTAGTACACTTTTAATTCTTCAATAGCCCCAGCTTTAACCATAGCCAATATGGGCCATGTCTTTTTTTGCTGCAAAAACACACATTTCTGTGGTTCATACTCATTTCCAAGTCCATATAACAAAGAAATAATACATCTACACACTTGCATTAAATGGGTGCTCTCGAGAAGTACACAAACAGTAGAATAAAGGAACCTGCTAGAAAAAACATTAACTCACTGTATGAGAAGATAGAGGCAAAGACGTTTTGGAAAATCAGTGCTTGCTCTCTTTTTATTCTATGAATAAAAAAATATATATTTTGCTTGGGGATTTTTTTTTTATTCTTTTGGCGGCACCTTTTCCTTAGTTTTCCGATCAAAGTCCTATTGACACTTTCAGTGTAAACATCTCGTGTTACTGCTCTGAAGAGCTGCTTTACCTTAAAGTTTGATCTTGGAACGAAACAGACCAACAAATTCCAATAGTCTTCTTCTACATGCTCTCCACACGCGCGGAGACGTCTCTTTGCAGTGATGTCCGAGAGCAGTAAAAGTTCTCGTTTCTCTCCTTCCCCACCCCCTCCCTCCCTCTCCCAGGCGTACCAGCTGATAAAGGCCGTATCTGTGCTGCTGAATTTCACGCGGGAGGAGGAGAACATGCTGAAGGAGACTCTGGAGTACAAGGTGAGATGGCGCCTCCGCCTGGGAACGGTCCTCCTGTGATTCTCACAGTCCTGTGCTCTGATTGGCTGAAGCACGTGGGCCGGAAACAGGGACGGGTTTGGCGTCGCAGTCTTCAGCGCACCCTGACAAGACGGCACGCGGATCAGCCTGAGATATGAGCCGCTTTAGCCGATATTCCGGGAAACCGCCGGTCAAGATCCTTGGGTCAATTAGCTGCCGATTACCAAACGAGCTAGACAGCCTCCTCTTGTTGGCACCTGTTCTCGGTACGGCCTTGGTCACTGTGCCTGTTTTACTTCCCCTTGCTTTCAGATGTCGTGGTTTGGATCGAAACCCGCGCCCAAGGGCATCGTGCGCCCCTCGATTTCCGGAGCCCCCGCGCACTGGAGCTGAGGTATCTCTCCCCCCGGCAGCCTGGACTGGGAAAGCTGCAGACCCCCAGCCCCCCCTCCCTTCCGCGCCCCCCCCGCTGCCCGGTCCACCCACTTTTCCAGCTGGCGCCCCGTCACTGTTCCAACGGTGTTTTAGCAGAAGACTTCAGTTTTTAAACATGGTTTACAGCTATTTAAGAACTTTATACCGGAGAATCCTGTTATGTAGATTGACGGTCTCTTCTGAGGACAAGTTATCCCGTCTTTCTCTCTTCTGGGAGCGACGCCGTGAGTTAGTCACAGTGGAGGCGGGGTAGCATAATAGGCCGCTGCGAAAGGGATGGCTATCGTTTTATGCGATTTTACGTTTTTTTAGGAGTGATTCTGTTCTATTGCAATCAAAAAGGTCGGTCCCTTCTTCTCAGACTGATTTTTTTTTTTTGTTTTTCCTCTGGGGACTAAGGTTGTTTTGTTTTTGGTTTTTTTGCACACGGAAAACCTCCCACCTGTCTTTGTTTTTAAGAAAAGCGAGCCGATATCCGTCTTGCAGAGCTGGAAGATCTGGAAAATAGAGGTGGATAATTTATCGATGAAGGGAGCTCCACCATCTCTGTAGCCCATTGCTGTCCTTCTCTAATGCCTTCCTGTTGGACTTTAAACCCCGAGTTCGAGAGTACTTCCCCCACGAGTGACCTGTTTAACTGTACCACTGGGCTTCTGCTTCATCTCTTAGCTTGAAGGGCTTTGATGGATTCTTCAACTCCGTAGCCTTAATGCAGAAGTGACAGCTCTGGCAACCAGACTGGAGCTTCGCGCAGAGGTGGTTAAAACTGTGCAACTGTGCTCCTGGGCTGAGCAGCCACGCTTCCAATGCCAAAGGCTTTGGGTTGGGATCTGGCCCGCTGGATGAAGGCCACAATTGCGTTGCTTTTATATCCGGTTCTATATTTTGTGTGATGGGTACTTTAGCCTGTTTTTTTTTTGTTTTTTTTCCGGGAAGGTGGGTAACCCCCAGATGACAATAACCGGCTTCACCAAAAAATGGTCCTGATTAACCAGCCCGGCATTGCTACGGTACAGCTGATCACGGCATCCTGTCCTTAGCCTTTCTCTTGTATGGGAAGGCCTGGCTTAGTGTTTTTTGTAAAAACTTAATTGGATTCCTTTACGCGGTGAAAGGGTCCCAGAGTGAGTGTATTTGGAGCCATCCGGTAGCGAGCCTCCTTCTGAGACATTGTTCAGCCTCATATCATAGCAGTCGCAGCTTCGGTTAAGCGGACACATGCCTGTGCATGTTTGTAGGCAGGCTTCGTCTGCAGACAGCAGTCCATTGCTTCTTTGAGTTGATGAGCACTTTTTACATCGCAAGCAAAAGGCTTCCTCCCCGCTTGGAAGGAGGGCCACAGTGCTTGTTCAGATACGTCGGTTGTAAAATGAGTCCTCCGATCATGGATGGCTGGGTTTGGAATCGAGTGATCGGGGACATGCTGTGTCTGATGGGTGTTGCGCCAGATCCACAGTGTGATTAATTTATCTGTTATCAATAGCCACGGAAAGGCGGCTTCGCTTGCGACAGCGCACTGTGGAAGGGGGAACAGGTTCCGTGAAGATGACTGCAGTTCGTTCACAAAGATATTCAGTGTCATTCTGAGAGTGCGTGGATGGGCTGAGTCACATCAGCATCAAGATGTGCGCACACAGTTTGCACATGTCTTGTGTGCTCTTACCCCACAGAAATGGGATCATTTTCACCCTTGGCAATGCCCGGTTTTAACCTGATGCGTTCATACAATTGTTAGAATGCCTAAAACGGAGTTCTGGTCTTCTGAATATACGTACATACCTATAGTCACGTGTGAAAATCTAAAATGCCTTCTGTTATGTGAAGACGACGACATCAGACTTCTAAAAATCACATGATTTGCCCATTATTCGCTGCTCTGCTACCGTTTTTCGTCCCTCAGTTTTAAATTCGTTGCACGACCAACTTATTATACAAGTCGGGCCGAAGGGAAAAACAAAACGCTTTGCTGATTTCCAGTGGGCGAGGTTGTGTGACAATCGACAAGACTCCAACGTGTTAGATTACATTTGTCCGACTGCTGTAACTAAGCATCTCTCGACTGAAAAAAATGACAGCTGTAAAAAATATCTTGAAACATTTCTCACTTTTTTGCTGCTTTCCTCTCTACATTTCACTTGTTCTGTCACTGCAGAAATGGATTTTCCCTTTTTACTTCATAGACAGAAATTAAAGTGCTTTGTAGCTGCTTGACGTTATAGCTTTTGCAATATTGTAATTTAATATATCATCTGTTGTACATTTTATTGAAGATGGTCTGTGGACTGCCACTTAACTCTGTTAAGGTTGTTATACCACCCAAGCTAACTAACCACATTGATCTTTTGGAATGTCTTCTCCAGAATGACTGGTAGGATTGGCATGGAGGGAGGGGAAAATATTATCTTAATGATCCCTTGATGTCTGGGTACCATGCAGTCCCATCTGTGGGACTTGGTGTGCTTGTCCCTCCCCCAGGTGATGTGGGTGTTGAAGCGAATACAGACTGTTCCTCTCTTCATTACTCAACTTTCTCTTTTCCTGAGAGCCATGTGCAGCTTTTTTGTCTTAACGTTTCAAAAGAGGTGACTGGTTATTCATGTAGGTGTTTTATTTAGGGCGGCATCGTGGCGCAGCTGTAGTATCGCTGCCTCTCAGCGCTGGGGTCCTGGGTTCAGTTCCTGGGGTTGCTGTCTGTGTTGAGTTTGTACATTTTTCAATGGGGATTTCCGTGGGGATTTCCTCTAGGTGCTCCGGTTTCTGTAGTCTCGAAGGCTTTTGCACAATCAGGATATTGTCTGTAAACCGCAGAACTAGACACTGGGGTAGGGCGATACAAAAAGTTCTGCAATTGAAAATTCAAGATCTAAACGTTTGAACTCCTTGCAATGGTATTTAGGACTGCTGATTGTAGTACGCTAGTTTCGCTGGGTCTTAATGGAGTTCACCTTGTGTCAGGCTCAATACGTGAGGTCTGCGTGCGCACTCAGTACTGGTGAACGATAAACCTCTAGGCATTTTTGTTTCCTTTCTATCCATTTAGTAAGGCGAAGCTTCACAAATCTCAACACTTTACTATTGCCCATCTCCCGGCTCCTTCAGGCTCCTTGGCCCTCAGAATGAACACTCTCCAGTGTTTAGGTGAGAATTGGGAGCAGAAGGTGCAATGGATCGTGGGTATTGATTAGCTTTGTCTAAGGGCGATGCTGCAGACGGAGCCCAGGATTCTCATTTCACCTTTTCGCAGATATCAGTCGGCTTGCACTTGACTTCGCTCGTTTCCTATTTCAAGGGTCGAAGGCCACCAGAACCTTTTTAAAATGCTGTAGGAAACAGACTTGTGTGAATGACTTTGCAAATGCAGTCCTTCCAAAGTGTGCACAGGATGTGGGTCTGGTCAGCTCGGTATATAAAAGGTAGATATGTTCTGTCACGCAGAGGAAATTCAGTTTTTGTGAACAAGGCACATGTGACAGCCAGCTGTCCGTGTGTTGCGATTTGTTTGCAGCCGGAAATATCAAAATTACTTTTATCCATTATGGATTACTGTATATCTGATCATCGTGATTACAGGTTATATAATAAAGCAAGAAATTTCCTGGTCTGATGGTCTAGTATTATTATACTTGTTATACTATACTGAATGATTCTAGAAAATCTAGGCTTATTTGACAAAAACACCACTCAGAACATGGCTACATTCAGATCTGTGATCTTTCAAATATTATTTTTGGGTAATACGTTTTGCCATTAATCATTCACTATTTCTGTTTAGAGCGCATTTCCAAGATTATGAGTTGACTTTTTATTTTGGTTCAATATTGTGGTTCCATTTCAACAGGTAGGCGTTGTCTTGAAGTTCATGTTGTATCTTAGCCCCTTGTCTTTAAATAATAGCTTATGAAGTTAACACAATTAGAAAAACAAACAGAACCAGAGCAGCTGCTTTAGCTAAGGGTGTTGGGTTTGCTTTCAAATATAAATTTAAAAAAATCTCAATCATAATTGAAAATAATATAGACGGTCACACCCTGTCTACCTTTGTATTTATAAAATACATTCCGTATGATGATCAATATATGATCAGTACTGTACATAAGAGGAAATTATAAATCATTGGATGTATAGGAGCGATAGCAGTATTTATATCAGTATTTAACCCACCTTCATGGAAGGATTTATCTCAAACTAAGCACAAGTTTAGACTTTTTTTTTACGTCTGAACATTGCTGCTTGCATCTCTAACAGACTGTGCTAAATGATATATTAGTATGTAATGAACCAAAAAACACTGCTCCGGCTGGAATGAATTCATGTAGGAGTTTTAACCTTAAGCACTGGTTCAATCAAGGGTAGGTGTAATGTTAAAACATGGCATTTCGAGTTGACTTTCTTTTTTTTTTTTTTTTAAAGTAAAGCTTTGTAACATAATCGTGTTGGACCTGGTGCATGATGTCAGGGGTGTTACTCATTTAGTGCTCAGCTGTGCTGAGTTGGTGGAGTTCAGGATTCCTGAGAGCACTACTGGTGAGAAAATGATGACTGCATTTATCATTCCTTCTGTCGGACGTGCTCCCTTCTTTGGGGCGAAAGGTGGGGTAAAGTTTTTATTTGTACATTCCAATGGAGGAAAACAAAACATCTAAATATAAACTGGACAATACACTATATAAATGTATATACATATGGATTGAAAAAAATACGTTTGGCGATGTAAACAGAAATATTTGAAAAGGCGTTTATAATTAGAGCTTTTTTAGATACCTGACAAAAGCTTAATTTTTGCACACTGCTGTTCACCTTTCTCTCTTGTACGCTGTATATATCTCCCTTGTGATCTTTCAGTCACAGCTGAGAAGATGCTTTTATCTTTTGAGTTGGATGACAACCTGTTAATACGAAAGATTGTTCTGTGGCACGTTCTGACAGAACTGCCAATACAAATCTTCCTGCCTTTAGTACTGCTACTTCTACTACTAATAGTATTGAGTGTTGATTTTCTATTTGTGTTGGCGTGGCCTGAACTCTGCAGAGGATAATATAATGGTGTATATTCCGAGAATGACTAATGCACTTTTTAACATGTATGCTGAAGTCAGTCCAGATTGTGAACTGCCACTGAATTCACTTTTGTTCGGGTTCTGTTTTGCTTTTTCCATATTTGGTGTTCTAAAGAAAAAAATGGACAGCATATTGTGAAATTCTGATTTGATTTTTGTTTTGTTTTTGTTTTTTGGGGGGGGGGGGTCGGGAATAATTTGTAGATGTTATTTTTGATTAAACTTATACAAACGTCAACAATTACTGTTTTTTCTTTGGCAAGAGTCGAGCGCAAACCAGGCTTTGTAAAACCACATGAGCAACTGATGGATTCATTTACACATACCCACAGACCGTGAGTTGGCTGATGCTTTTGTTCTATGTGACCTACATTTATACGCATCTATACCTCTAGATTTTAAATATATTTACCAAATACTAAGTATGTGACTGAAGGGGACCTTAACCTCTGTCAAGGTCCTCTCCTGAAACATACTGAGCACATCTACAGTACACTAACCTTAACCAATTCCTGGAAATACATCCCAGCTTATTCCTTATCCTCTGCTTCTATCCAAAATAACTCCCATTTGTACAAGCACACCCTTCCCAATTACATGCCAAGGGTGCTTAACCGTTCCTCCAGTGTTGCATACTGAAAGCACCTGTACTAACAATTAGATCAGCGATTAAAAATGTTCAATTCAGTATGGGGTTTCAGGCATCAAGTTCACGATACTGCATGCTGAACATACCACACACCTGCAGTACATTCCTCAAGTATAAACTAGTTTGATACTTTTCTAGTTCACTGGTGACGATGTTGCGGGACTTTTACAAACCCCAGAGTTCCCCAAAGTCAATGCCTGGATTAAGCTGTGGCCACAGTCTGTTGTTCGCTGGGTCGGTATCAGATTTCCACCTATTCCTGTGTGTACTATTTTTTTTTTTTAAAGGGGTTAATGCGATTCAACCATTTAAGCTCAAAGCGCAGTTAGCAGGCTTATCGGTGTTTCCCTTTTTAAAAACCAGACCACTAATTTGCACTGAAAGGAAAGTAGGACGATCGCAAAAAGACTGTGACTAAGTACCGCCTTGGGGTACAATTTACCTTTTGTTTAATCATTTAAAACGAGTTGTAAATCATGGTCGAATAAAATGGTTTTCATGGGGGAGAATAAATTGAATGTTATACGAGATGGCCCCCCAGGGCCAGCACTTCAGACCTGGGTTCTGGGAGATTAAAGAATTAAAAGAACAGCACTCCAGCTGAAAACCAGCCAACACCAGACCACAACTTTGAGCCATTTAAGCGACAGCAATGCTTTAACCAGATTCTTTATTTTGAATTTAAATTTTTAGGTTTTACATGAAAATCGCACAACTTAAGTCATTCTGCAAAATGAAAAACCTGATTTTAGCCATCACAAAAAGTCCTTTAATAGATTAATACTCTTATATTAAGCAGGGCACAGAAATGAGGAGCCTGTTCATTTTTCAGCCCCCATACAGGTTTCCTGAATAGCTCTGTGCAGGTAGTTTAGCAATATACAATCTCTTCTTTAACCTGTGTTAGCTGGGTGGGAAAAACTCATCTAAACCCCATTATTAATCAGAATTTCCACACAAAAAAATTCCATAAAGATGATACAAGAGCTTTATTGCAGCAGGCACTTTACATGAAATCACCCCAGTATTCATATCCTCTCCATTGCTTTATATTAAATGTACATCTCTCTGTACAAAAATGAGAATGAGGGGAAAAAAAAAGAGAATAAAATCTAACCTTCAGTACTGAGCCAGTCAAATAACACTATTGTACCATGGTGTACTCCATCATGTGCGCCAATTTCATGGTATAAGCCAAGACTGCCTGTCAGCCTCAGCTGGAGTCAGTCCTGGTCAGTTTTTCTAAATTAACGTGTTTTTAAAATTTTTCTGAAGTAAAAACAAACAGAGTGTGAGGATGTGTAAGACTTTGCATATGATAACATGTACAATAAACAAAAGACATCCCCCCCACACCCCAAACCTTTCAAAACCTCAAGAGATAAAAAGCATTCCAACATACACTGTAGTTCTTCACTCATAATTATATTCTTTATAATGTGTCAGCTTCTGCAAAAATGGCATCTTTTTTCCTGTAAAACTGATTCCCTTGGGGGGGAAAAAAGAAACAAACGATTCCTGGCTCGCCTCTTCATGGTTTTTGTCTTCATAGCTTTTCTTCTTCGGCCAAAGGTTTTACAGTCCTTCAAACAGTCTTTCTGGCTGTCAGAACTCTGACAATGGATCCTAGGCCACCCACTGCAAAAGCCTGAGAAAGACAAGAACCGTTCAGACAAGATGACACGATTACAGTCACAGTCCTTTTTACCTGGTGAAACCCGTCGGCTGGTCCTGTAGGATCATGTCGTTCTGGACTTTTTGTATCTAAGCGAACTTGACTGGAGGCAAAAAGTTCATTTTGCTCCTTGATTTCCTGGAGCACTTAGGGAACAAGATCAAAAGCAGCTGACCGATTTGTATTCTGATTCTTAGAACGTTTTGACAGTATTCTTAGAACTTTTTGTAAACCCAAATTTCCGTATCCTGCATTTTCTCTCCCTTAATGCTAAACCTAAAATAAGAGAGGGATCAACTCCATTCCAAATACTACCAGCAGCCTTAGAGATCTTAATGAACATCTGTCTTATCACACACTTCCCTACGATCACTGTACCATAATTACATCCTGTGTTTAGTTTTGAAAAAAAGTCATAGTGTGCAATTTTATTAACAGACCGATCTTCCTTCCGGTTTTGCTTTGCGAAATAGAAAAGCATAAAGGCAGGAAGGAACTACTGTGAGCCCCACCTACTCGAAACAGACACAATTCTGATTGCTTTTATTGTAAGAAAGCTACAACACTGAAGGCAGTCCTTTTAGTTAAAGTAGCGCCATTGCAAGTTGCCTGCTTACAGGCAGGTCAATAGTGATAATCTTTGCTTATTTAAGTCATCTATGATATTTTAAAAGTGCCAGGATCATTTTTGCTCAGCATTTAATCAATTTCGAGTTGTTTTTGCAGATAAAAAGAGAAATAATGCAAGCTAGTAGCCTAAAAGAGGGTGCAAGAATTTCCTTTTTAATTACTGGTTATACTACAGGCTTGGTTACAGCCAGTCTATGCCCAAATGCAGCTGTAGATGTAGGACTTGCTTTAAGCTCTCATAAAAAATGTTCACTCGAGACTTGTGTGCGCTTAGATACATCTGGCCTCCAGAATAGTGAAAAAAGGGATTTAAAAAATAGCAGGTTTTAAAAATGGTCATTCCTGTTTGGAATTTCACTTGCAAACTTCTCTAGGTTAACCTCCTGCAAAACACTTTGTTCCCCCCCCTGTGAACGTCACACAACTCCTGAGTATTCGTCTCGAGCGTTGTACATCGAAAGAGACGCTATTTTAAACCTCGGGTCAGTGCGAAATGGATTTGTTCCCACATCTTCGTGTGCCTAAAAATAACACATTGCTTTTTCTTTCCATGGAAACAGGCCTGGCTGCATAGAATCCCACTATTACCATTACAGCTAAATTCAAATGAGTTGAAAGGGAAAAATGCTGGAAATTTCACAATGATCCAAGGGTCAACTTGAATTATACAGACGGAAACGTAAAATTTTGAAAATACTTTTAAACCTCGTGCATTTACCGTAAGCAGCTTTTTACCGGAACTTTTAAGTCGGAAAAGCCGCCAATCACATTTAAAAAACGCATTTGAAAACATGAAAGAAAGGGTAACAACAGGGAACTCTTACACAAAAGCGTCAGAAGCAATAAGACGTGTTTGACTATGTCCAGATTGACTCAGCATATTGTCATGAGTTACAGTTTGGAAAAAATGTCACGGGGTCATCGGGATGGAAGAAGTCCTTCCCGATTAGCAAACATCAAACCTTTTGATAACAGAGCGATACTAACGTGCCAACTCAATCAGAAAAGAACGTGCAGGTATTTAATATACATTTGTGTCGGTGTGGCATGGTGGCATTGCTGCCTTGCAGCTCTGGGTTCAATCGGCGTGCGTTTTCTCCATTGGCTCCAGTTTCCTCCCAAAGTCCACAGACTGGTGTGAGTGTGTGGTCTGTCTGTGTGCATCCTGAATGGACTGGAGTGCCTTGTGTACCTTGCCTTGTGCCTGTTGCTTGTTGAGTTAAATTAACATAGTTTCTCTTTACTATATAAAGTTAAAAACTGAGGAGCAAATGCCTTTGGATATTCCCCTTGTAACCTTGAAATTTGGCTATATCGTGATCCTGATACTCCTCTTCCACATTTATGGAAAAGCTGAAGGAAGAAAAGAGTAAGAAAAATCTCGCAGAATCCAGTTGCCGTTTTGATGCCACAGGTCTGAAAGCCCAGGTTTTCGACCTCTTGAGACTTCAGTCTCGGAAACCGACCGCCACAATAAGCACGTCTTTTTACCCACCGAACAAAGCCCGAACGGACTGGAGGGAACCTACCTTTTCGTGCCACTGAAGCAAAATTGCACTGCTGTTTTCCGAAGGCTTCTCGAAGCCTCTGTAAATATACTTCATTAATAAGTCAACACCGTTCTTGTCTAAAGATTTCACAGCTGGCTCAATCTCGCTGCTTCTGAAAGACGTGAGGACACGCAGTACTATCCCCTGTGCCCGTTCCTGGGGAGAAACAGATAAGAGAGCTTTGACTAATCACGTATTAATCAAGAGTACCGTTTCGATATCAAAGCGTACACCACAGACTAGCTTTAGGTGTGTCCTACTGAGGTGTTGACTGAGGAAAAGGTGAAACAAGCAGAGCTAATGTAAACAGAAACGGGAGAAAAATTTCCCAAACACAGACATACATTTCACATGTCCTTCCGTAAGAAAACCTTCTGAGTGAGAATAACCCCCTCCCCAAAGTGTGATAAAACGGGACAGCATTTTGAAAGGGCCAAGTATCAGGCACTGTCCTTACCTTAGCTGCCTGATTCTTGGAGTTGATTGGAGGATTTCTTAAAACTGCATGAAATGCAGTCATCATGTCCCCTGTACATTAGAGTAGGTTAAGGAACACAACACCAGGCTCCAGCTTCATTGCGATTAAGTTAAGACGACACTGTAAATCACAGGAATGACTAGAAATGTCAGCGTTAAGCAACATCAGTTCATGTCCCACTTGTACAAGCAGAGCTGCTGGCATACTTAAGCTGTTTTTACACAAACAAAGGTCCATTTCTAATTTTGTGGAAAATCTGCAGAAAGCTAAGTTACGTTTTTTAAAAACGCAGCAATTCCAGGATCTTGTAAAAACACTGTACTGGTACTTAAGGGGATGCTGCTCTTTAATTCTTCGCGGTTTGTTCACAAATTGAACTCCTTCACAATGCATCAAAGGAAACGTTGAGCAACAAGAACTACCAAAATCGGCCGAGAGTACTGTGCTTTAAAAGAAAACAAATTGCATTATATGCCCAATCTTGGTAGAAGTAGCTTCCAGTAGTGTCAGATAAAAAGGAAAGATGCTTAGCAAGATGGAAGATTGAACTCAAGTCACTGAATTTTAGCTAGAACCCGAAACACTGATTCTTAAGATATTGGGTTATAAGCAAATTCTCACCCTTGTCTTATATTGCAACAGAGAGAATGTTTGAATTGAACACAATCCACACCTTGACCGATTAAACATTTCTCCGAAGTTTCCTGCTAGTCTCTCAGGACACGAGCTTATGTTTTTGTTATTCCAAAAACACCCACGCAAGTGACACCAAATTCTATACTGCAGGAGTCAATGATCAACAAGTGAGCGATTCTTACTCGCATGATAAAACAAACAGGTAAGATGCCTAAGTCTGGAGAAAGAGGATCGCAGGAAAACCGGAAAAACTGAATTAACTGGTTTGGGGACTTAAACGTTCTATCTTATCTGAGTGGAAAAAAACTGGAGGAGCTTGTAGCTATACAGTAAAAGGAAATAGTCTGTTCTGAACTCTCGGTTACTTAAAAATTGACCGTCGAAAAAATCACTTCTCAGGAGTGTAGACCCCAATAACTGCTAGACTGACTGTCTTTAAACGTGGCCTAGCCCAGGTTCAATACATGACTGGCCAGGCACTGCCAGCTCTGTGTGGACTGAGAGTCAGTCAGGAACTGCAGCCCCTGAACGTGTCCGGACTCTGTCTGACATGACACTCCTGTCATCGATCAATTTCTTACAACAGGACAACTGTGAACTTACTACCATGCACACTTCATCTCCCCTGGGTAACTGCAAAAATTGCCACTGTGGTCACACCTTGTTGGTGATCTCAAAGCATTAAAGAAATGTACAAAATAAAATATACATGAGACTTCCCATCTGTTTCAGTACCCGTTAGCAAAAGATCTAACTCTGGGGCAATTTTGAATAATTTACATACAGGCAAATCTATCCATCTCTGCTGTTTTACTGTAATCAATTTCAGTGTTCCACTAATCTCATGACGTCACCTACCTTAATCCCCAGCAATGATGCAAAGCTAATTTACATCTCTGTCAAGATTCTGTAGGTAAATGTATCCTACTAAAGACAGCCATTACAAAGCAGCCTACTGCACCCACAAACAGACCACAGTAGGCTTTCAAACTTATGCACGTTAAATAAAATTATACACCCAGCTAAACTGGAAAAAAAATGTAATTGCCCTTTATCACGGCAAGTCTTATTAAAGAAAGACAGTCCTATTATTAACGACTGGTTGATTTGGGAAGTTAGCAGGTCTTTAGCATCTGTCTTCTTATGTGATTAAGCAACTTTCACCTGGTAAAAATTAACTGGTTCCTGCTGTGCTGTCAATATTGTCAAAAGGCAGGACTGGGCGATTTAAAAGAGCTCTTCCTTACTGCGAGAGCCCGCTCAAATTGCACAAATATCCATCTCTTTTCCCGTTTTCCCACACCGCAGTGACAAAATCAAACTTGCCTGCTGCACGTGTATCTTTGTTCTGGCCTGATGGTGACCCTGGATAGCACTGGTTTTGTCTGCTCTTGCTTGGTGGTCAGCGGTTCTCAAACAGGGGCACGGGCTCAAGTCTGCTTGTTGCGACACACATATTCTACCGCAGCACCGGAGGAACCGATCAGGTAAAGGAAATAAGGCCAAGGACAACCACCTCGCAAAACAACCCAACCCCCCTCCTCCCCAGCAGTCATCAGTCACGCGCCCCGAAGCGCGGACGAACGTTTCCTCAACCTGCCCCGAGCCGACTCGCGCTCGCTCCTGCTACCCACGCCTGCTGGCGCCACGCCGCAGGCCCAACCCGGCCTCAACGCCCCCCGGTTCACAAGCGCTTCCTGCGAGAGCCCTAGCGTCGTTTCAGAGCCCCCCCGCCACACCCCGTCTCGGGCGCAAAAACCCAGAGGCGCCAAACGAAACGGCCAGGCTTTCGCAAGCCAGCCTTCCGCCCGACGCAAATAACTACATGAAGCGGTAACTCTGAGGTCGGCTCGAAATGGAATGAGATAAAATGTACCAGCTGGGGTGCCGCTGACGATCTAATCGGCACAGCTGCCAAAAAAGCCACTGTGGGGGAGAACACCACGAGAAAGAGGTCTTCGGATCAGAGACACTTACAAGCTTTGCACCGGTTGCTTCTTGCAATCCAGGGTTTCAGGGGAACCAGAGTCTATTCCAGCAAGCAACTGGGGCAAGGCAGGGTACGCCCCGGAAGGGACACCAGTCCACTGCATAGACAGGGTTCATATAAAGCAAAAAAACAACGACTGAAAAAACTGCAACGTCAGGGAGGCGTCTCCGAAGTTAGCCACACAGCAAGAACTTGCACGCCTATCGCACTGCAAAGCTCACTCTCCGGGCGATTCGAATCGATTTCGCTTCCGTCCCGTTTTCCAGGGGTGGGAAAACAAATCGCTTTTTGAAAATTTCTCCTGCGATTGTGTGTGTAAGGATTCTTGTTTCTCTTCGGAGGGGGGCCGTGTGACCCTCAGTGGCTGCTGTTGCTGCTGCTGCTCAGGATAGCTGCAATACGAAGTCAAAATAAACGCTTAGCTTAACACAAGAATGTGGAACAAGCTACCCGGCCCTGTTGTTGAAGCCGATACTCGGACGCTCTTCAAGAAACAGCTGGAGGAGAACTCAGGAGCAATCGGCCAAGGGCCACAAGAACGAGACAGGCTTAACGGTGACCTCTAGGTTGTAACTCCTCCTAGTTTCTTAAGGTTATAATCTGGAGGATTCAGGTAAGAAGGGAGCAGGGAGAGAGGTCCTGATTCCCTCAGATCCTGCTACCAGCGCTCTTCACCATCGTATTTTTGCAACTCACTGCCTTGTAAAACAGGCTCCGGCACGTCCCGGCGTCTTGCCATTTACAGTGCCCAGCAGGAATCCTCAATGGGCTGTGCTGCAAGGCCAAACTGGCTCATCTGGTTTTTTTAAAGCACCGAAAAGCACAAATGCAGCAAGAGCTTATCTTCCTCCTGGATCCCAGCTTTGGGAAACGGACAGGAAGTGCGTTGGAATTTAAAAAGAATCGCTTTCGTTCTCGTGATTTGCATTCAGCTCCTGTCGGCTTCATTACTGAATTAGGCTTGTTTTTACCCATAGAACTCTACCCCAGAGACTTTTCGATGGCAACAATTCCTAATGACCAGTTTGGTTACGAGGGCTCACAAAATGCTTCAAATGTCCCAGACAAAAGGTCTCTCGGTTTGTGTACTTGTGTTGCAAGAAAATGGTAAAAAAATGTAACCCATTCAAATAACCTGTCAGACAGATAAAGGCTGCAATGCAGCCTTTTTAATCTTGGAAGCACCAAGTAAACACATTTGCTACCTATACTGCACACTATTCTGCAGCAAACATCTGCTCAGCATTTTTTTAATATGGGGCTTTTAGAGCAGAAACCCAGAAGCTGCTAAAACTGACCAGACAGGAGTTTACATTACAGACTGGAAAAAAGGGAATGAGTGTAGGTGAATTCCTTTTGGATGAAATTCACAGTCTGCTTTACTGAAGCACTAGTTTAAAATGTTGATGGAGTTTTTAACAACATGGGACTTCTACCAAAACAGTTAGGTTTCACTAGACAGATCCCACAATGCACTCGTGACATTAAAAACCCACTCCAGAGAATAACCAGTATTCAATGGCGGAGTGTCAGCAAACAACACAGACTGATGGTAGAATTTGAAATCTTGGGCTATTATTAAAAAACTGGCACTGGAGTGCTGGGAATAAGATTTCTTGGTCCCTTTTTCTTTCGAAAAGCGATCACAAAACAATAAGAGCTAGACTAATTGGGTGCAGGCTCTGTTGACGATGTGGTAATGCGACTATTTCAGATTGTCAGATAATGTGAATTTTCTTACAGCCCCTGGGGGGCTGAGGCTGTCAGGAGCTCAGAATGTCCTAGATATTATCAGAACGCTTGAAGGCCTAGAATCTGGTACGGAAAATTCAGAAAAAATGAAATCGTAGTACATTAGGATGTCAGCTGTATGGCATCTTTGACTGCAGGTGCACCCAGGAACCTGCACTGAACCTCTTAAGTTTTGGTTCCTCTTTCTCCCAGCTGGGTTGTGACAAGAAATGTACGCTGATCATGCTCAGATCAGCTCTTGTCAGGCAGAAGGAGCAGTAATGGGTTACAAAGCCTCCTCTGGTCTCACAGCTCAGCCACATCCTCTTCATAACAGGTCGACCGTAGCACCGCACAGGAGAGCACAGGAGCAGATAGAAATCAGAGGAACCACTAAGCCCAGTTCATCTGTGCTCCTTATACGAGACATTTACTCCCCCATTCTCATCTGTCCATCTCCTGAAGAACTCCAAGGGATCAGGATTTGACGATATGGCTGGGAACTTATGATTGGACACCCTTGATTTTTGTTCCCAGAAAATGAGGTCGTTTGAAATGCTAAAGATACACGTTTCTTTTCCATCCGAGTCCTTGTGTAGCAGTCAACTCAAAGAACTTCCCGACAGGTGATACCCCTAGAATTTGAACTGCCAAATCCAGCGCACTACTGTTTCCGTCTAAATTAGGGAGGACCAAACCCATTCAGTTCCTTAACCCTGTCCGTAAAGAACCACCAGTAAGGCCAGGAATTGAAGGTCATGTTTGGTGGGTTAGACTCCAGCTCCCACCCCCCGCAACCCCATACTGGACAAAGCGGTTTAGAAGCCAGACCGTTTAGTGACAAAACACCTTCGCTTTAAAATACTGGTAAAGCAGGCTTGAGGGGGAAAAACCCCTCAAGAACCATTATTTACTCCTTTGTGATTGCAGTCCACCCCAGAACAAGGGCGCCACGTCCAACCTGCACAGCCAACTTACCTCCCCTGCGCCGTACGAAAAAGACGGATCCAAACAGCCGACTGCTGGCGCAATTCGGAGCAGATGGCTTTGTTCCCCCTGCAGCTCCTGGCACCTGGACACAGCCAAGTGGAGGGAAGGATTTGGGATCTGAGAGGGGGGGGGGGAGATCTTCGGTCTGGGGCTATTAAACTAGTATAATCCTGCATCTGCTGGGGAGACGCTACAAGCCTAATTCTTCAGGGGGTGCCGTAATACCGTACCTGAGCTTCAAACAGAGTAAGGATCAAGTACAATCTCCCCCTGATTTCCTTCAAGTGCACTTATGCTTTTGCCCTGAATGTCGCCCGCAGTACATTCGCTAACCAGGGTGCAGCTGACAGGCCCATCAGACTCGCCGTCGGTGCGCCTTTAATTAGCATGACTAACGCGAGGCTGCTCCAAAACAGCCCTCGGTCTGCAGAGCAAAGCTGACAGGGCGCTCGGAACCCGTTCAAATAGTTATTAAAGACCTGGAAATCTAAAAACCAGCACCTAAAGACATCCAAATTATTTGCAAATCTTAAAACGGTCGATCAGGAGAAACGTATTATGTCCTGGGTACTTGCAGGCGATATGCATGCAAAATACTGCCAACGTACAGGCGTTTTTCGCACGACAGACTGCACCAGCTTCCCCGTGTGCTCTCGATCCAGTTATTCTTAACCCTGAAGTCACACTGTGGAGGCGAAAGACCAAAAACCGCCGAGGTACATTCCTGTCTATAAAACGTGAACATGAAAAATAAAAGTTATACATGGGGGTGTACCATGGTATGTACTGCAAGAAGGTCCCACTTGTAAATTGAGGTCACCCCCCCAAGTACTGGTGAGGTTCTAGATGAGAAAGATGAATTAATCCACTAAACTCGGAAATAGGCGCAAGAAAGTGGTCTACTGGGCGGTCATCCGACGGGGGGGGACGATCCCGGGAGGTTATTTAAAGCGCAACCCCCAAAGATAAAGACGGCGGCGGTGAAGTGTCTCACCCCTCCTCTAAAAATACACACAGCGAGTGGGCAGCCCAGACCCACGACACAGGCTATGTGCTTCTCTCTAGCTACACGAACCGGTCTGGGGGTTGTGGTGGCTGATATTTCTGGTCTCCTGCTCGGGGCACCTGTGCGATAAAGTGAATTGGGGCAGAAGCAGCGAGCAAGGGCGCATCGGGCCAGTGAAACAGCACAGCTTGGTCGGGGCGAAAACCTCCGCCGGTTTTGCCCACTTAGCTTCACAACCAGGAGGGGAGGCGATTAATAACTAACCTGACCAGCTGAAGACGTCTACGGCCGTCCCCCCCTCCAAGACCATGCCTGTTTCTTGGGCTAACGCCACCTTAACGTTTCAGCCTGTCAAAAGTGCAGAGACGCATTTGGGCGAAATGATTTCGCACTCGCCAAGTTTCCAGCCAGCC